TTAATACAAATTATATTATCCATGAAATTTAATGCATCCAAAAAACATTCCAAATGTTTGGGTCATTAAACCACACAACTTTAAGGGATAGGGGTCGCATTGCTCCAAAATATTTGTCGCGTCCGGGATAATTCGATCGCTATTAGGAAAGGGGGGAAGTTTTGGGTGGTATCCGGTACTTTTCTACTTAGATTACTTACCTTTAATAACTTGGATATCTGTTTTTTTAAAATCGAAACAATATGTCGGACGATATATAATAAAATGGAGCTATAATAATTGTGAAATCGTAATATTTCTCCCGAGTCTTTTGTTGAATATTGTAAATAAAATAAATGTTTTGGTGGAGTATGTTCAGGTTCATGAAAAGAAATCTTTGAAGTTCATTGGATGAATAAAAAATAAAGTATGAAAAATACAAAGCTTGGCAACAACTTTAACAATTTGAAGTTATAAATATACATATGAATATCAGGTAGACACGCTAGTCCTTTTGTAACAAAAAATAATGGGACAAGTTCGTGATCCTGTGTCTTAGTAAGTAAAAAATAATTTAAAAAAAGAAAATTTGGTTCTTGCCTTAACATGGATTATTATAAAGGTTTTCGTTTATGAAAATAACGAAAATATATATTTGCTCGTCAGAGTAGTTAACCTTTACGTAATCAAACAATCTTTGTCAATACAGGTAGATACTATCAATTTCCAAGAAAGACAAGAAAATAATAGTAATACAATACAAGAAAATGTTTATTGAATAACTAGCTGTGCCCTGCGGTGTTGCCCGCGGTTTATAAGGGATATTTTTGCACAGTTAAACATAGCCTATATGTTAATCCAGGGCGTCAACTAACTCCATATCAAGCTCCAGCTGTTTAGACGTGAAGAAGTAACAAAGATACACACTCACAAACTTTCGCCTTTATAATATTAGTGTGATTGTTATAATTGGCTAAATAGAACATATCTTTGAGTCTTCACGTAAGTAAGATCATACTATATCTTGATCGTTTTATGTTAATAGCTTGTAAATAATAGTATATGTGTCTATTGTTCTTGGAACTTGAAACAATAAGGTAGTTGGCGTATAAAATATAGAGGCTTGAAGGCGAGCCTCAGATAACAAGACGACTTCATTTTATATTCATGAACGCGTAACGCTGTTTTTAAAGGCTCAGAATTCTTGGAAACTTTATGGAATAGTAGATTGTTTTCTAAAGGAGAAAAGAACTATTTTAAAGGCGAGAGCGTTTTGAGGTACGTCGCTCGAGCTTTAACATTGTGTTGCTCCCGACGTGGAGTAAATACAATTAAGATTTTTAGCGTCCAATACAATGTTGAATGTTCTCAGGAGTTAATATAATACTTTAATTCTCACTAGATATGGAAGACACACATTTTTTTATAAAACCAAATAAATTCCAAATTTGAGTAAGTAAACAATTATGAACGAAGGCGAAATAAATTTCACGCGTTTCTTAATTTTTCACACCTTTTTGTTTATTTGTTTATTTTCTTCCTTCATAAATCAATAGGGTCGGGTGTCTCACATTGAACCAGGCAGCTACATTTAACCACAATCTTATTTGGGTAATGCGACATTGCAAAACTGTGCAAATATGCGTAAAAGAGAGGTATTTGCGTTCTCTTTCTACCCACTAATTTGCGTGGCAATAGCGTGCGAAGAGGTCGTGTGAGAAGCATTTTGTCGAAAATTTACTCTAAAAGTAAGATCTTTCTGCAAATTTCTTTCTTTTTTTTGGTTTAAATAATATTGGTTTCTATACGTTAACACTGTTTTACATAGTAATCCAGCATTTAAATGCACTATAATTCGTTACTCTGCGGTATTATTTTCCGGGTAAAATATTGAGATTAGTTGTCGAACTGTGGCGTGTCTCACATTGAGTCACATTTGGGTTGTACACATTGAACCATGCTTCACTATGTTAACCGTAATGGTTAAGTATATACTAAGTTTATAATTATTTCTATTCTTAACAGGATGGCGTGTAAAACGGTATTAGTGACAAAAAGTGGTGGATATTCGGCTGCCAATATTATAATTGCATCTTAGTTTTTATGAGTCTAATTAATTATGTTTCATGACTTAAAATATTTTAATTTTGTTGTTAACCTTTAAAAGTTTACTTTTAGCATTATTACAATTATAAGTATTTAACTGATGCAAAGATTTAATGAACCAATGTCTTCTTTCATTATAAAATATGTTTAGGGTAATATTGGAGTGGTTCAATGTGGAAAATACCCCGGTTAAATGTGTTCCTCTCGATTTACACATTGAACCAATACTTGTTGTCCATAAATTCTTTTTTTACGCTCAAACCAAACGGAATTTAAAAATATAATATTTGTATAATTGTAGTTCAATAAATTCACTAACTTTACACCAAAACTTAAAGGCATTAATTGCAAAACGAGCGCGCTATGAGACTTTGAAAGGACATTGTTCAGCGTCCATACATAGTTAGCCTAAGAACCAACAATCATGAAATATTATTTTCTAGGTTCAAAATCGTAAGTAAATGACTGTAAAAACAAAGATTATTGACGGACACTTCTGAGAACTTAAATTATTAGGAAAATATTAAATTTTTTGAGGTTATGTTTAATATTCAATGAAACATAGGTCAATCTATGAATTTAGTATAAACTCAGTATGAAGTGAATTAATATTACAACTAATTCATTTTATTCGGTGCAATTTTAAAGAAGAACTATTAGGAAAAACTTGGTTAGGTAGGAATCATGAATAAAATAAAAACTGCTTCTTTTTTGTTGACTATTTTTCACATAGTTGTATCATATTTGAATATTGTATTTATTTGTATATCACATGTATATTGTGTAAATATGCAGCTTGAATGTGTATCGGGTGTTGTGTTCTTGAATAATTAAGCAGTATGATCCTCTCAGGATGTTGTGGCACAGGTTCACTAGCACTTGGTTATAGGAGCTCTTCTCTTTGGTAACATCGATGGCATATTAGATAGCCAAAATAGTTAAATTTAAGGAAAAACAATCGCAAATAAACACACAACAGGTAATCCGAAACGAGAATGCACTTTCCGGTATAATAAACTACTCTTTGGAATGTACGAATGCCACAGATTACTACGAATGCAAACTGCTTGCACTACAACCACAGAGTAACGAGTTTTATGCCGGCCCTTCACTTGACAGCAGTTTGTCCTTGTCATGCTTAATAAGGAATGAAAAGGACAGACTGATGTCATGTTTTAAAATAGCAAATACGAATAGCCAAGTGAAGTGCCGGCATTAGGAAGAAAGAGTGTTTTGTTTGCAGCGCTGCCATAGATTATACACATAAAATGGTATTTATTGTCTCAGTTTATTTTCTAACTTTTTAATTTAGCTTACTTAACTAGAAGTGTCCGTCACAATCTAAATACTGATAATTATCGCAAAAAATATACTAAGAATTATCATAAATGCCAAATTGGTGTTGGTTCTTAGGCCAATTTTAACATTGTCCTTTACCTGGTTCAATGTGAGACACCTAACCCTATACATTTGTACATCACACTACCTATATTACTCCTCGCTGTGAAAATAATATTATCATTTGCCTCATAGTGAAATAGATATTAGATGCTTCGCTTGTTATTAGGTTAGATTATAAAGTATCGTAGATGTAATTTATGTTTTAGATTAACGATAATTAGTATTATGTAAGTAGAGTAGTGTTTAAATAGTGTATTTAAAAATGTAACATAACGTTCCAATTTCAGCAGACATCTTGTGGCGTTGCCCATTGTACTTAGTTTCACGCCATATATCCCCTAGCAGAGCATGGAAGGTGTAGTAGATGAAATTTAGATAAATATACAGGATGTTACAAAAATACAAATAAAACTTGAAAGGCGTTGAAGTACAACATATAAGGAGTCTTGCATGAAGTTTAATTTTTTATAAAAACAGTTATTACAACAGCTAGTCCATTGTGTGCGTACACAATAGGTTACTAATATTATAAATGTTAAAGTTTGTATGTTTGTTACTCAATCACGCAAAAACTACTGAAGGGATTTGGATGAAATTTGGTACGCATATAGTTTATGACCTGGATTACGACATAGGATACTTTTAATCCCGGAAAAATGTGAGGTTCCCGTGGGATTCTCAAAAAACCAAAGCTTAACGCGGACGAAGTCGCGGTCGGCCGCTAGTCCTACATACATTATAACCTGTGCTCGAAGATCTACAGGAAAGTTAGGAGCTATTGCATTCTAAGTTCCTCTTTTTTGGCTCCCAGACCACGATAAAATTATGATATAAAAGATTGATATAGCGCCTAAACTTTTAGACGTATTTACCTCGAGAAATCTCATTAAACCTCTAAAATGTTAAGCAGCTACTTATTTAAAATTCAACGAGTTTTTATTACGCTTTATAAAATCGTGTCTCCGCAATAGCCCGTCTGGGATTAAAAATGGATTGTCCGAGACCCCCATTTTTATCACAATTTGTTCATCTTGTTTACGTAAAACATTTTGCAGGCATGGATAGAGATTAACTCGCATCGGAATAACAATAGCCGCGGCGACTCGAATATAAGATTGCAGCCATTACGGATTCATAAACAAACTTTTGTGAAAATAAAGGAAAAAACGCGTTATGAATATAGAGAGGAGCAGCGAGGGGGATGGGATTGATTAATTAAATTTGCATAAGTTGACATGCTAGCGCGATAAGCACGGGGGTGGCGTAACCCGCGCCCGTGCTCCAATATGCGGTCGGAGTCACGTCCGCGCGAGTACGACCTCCAGGCCCCTTCTCATTCCCTAATATGCAAATGAGGACCCGTGACAAATTGGATCGAAACCTTCCCCGCTATAGACTGCATCAATTTCACCGAAGCCAAGTCTAACAGTTTCGAAGGGCCTAATCTTATTTCGTGACACTCATTGACAGGCATCGAGAAGCCGTATCTTTAACAACTCGCCTCTTTGTTGCAGGTGTTTTGGTTGTAAACGTGACGTGGCGAGGGAAGACCTACGTCGGAACTTTGCTCGATTGCACGCGGCACGACTGGGCGCCACCACGGTAATAAACGTTAATCACGACACGATTGCCCCGTTAACGATCGTTGCGTGGCGATTTGTCAACGGAACTAATGTTAGTTTGATTGGTTGTAAATATCAGTTATGGTTTGCGTTGCAGATTTTGCGACTCGCCAACGGAGGAGTTGGACGCGCGGACGCCGAAAGGTCGCGCGAAAAGGGGCCGTGGCGCCGCACCTACAGACATGACAAACTTCACGGAGACGCGCTCCTCCGTCCACAGCAAACTAAGAAACGGTGGCGCTAAAGGACGTCGGGCGTTGCCGTCTCCTACACCGTTTACGCCTCCGCGGCCAGACTCGAAGCGAAAACGCACGTCAGAAGCGGAGGAAAGGCCGCCGACGCCAAAAGCGAAGCGTCCTCCCCCTACGCCCTCATCCCCTCCCCCTGACCCAGTCCTCCTAGAATGCCCAGAGCCGAACTGTTCCAAAAAGTACAAGCATGCGAACGGCTTGAAGTATCACAGGTCGCACGCACACGGCACGCCCGATGACGACGACAAAGACGGCTCTAGTTCGGAGCAGGAGGAGCCAGCGGCGGAGCCGGCCTCACCCGCACAACCTCCCTCGGAGCCGGCGACTCCGGCGACTCCGGTGAAGAGTCCCACACCCGTGAAATCGCCTGAAGCGAAGGCGGAGAAATCGCCAGAGAAGTCGCCGGAGAAAGTGGAAGCGAGCGCGGAGTCCCCGCAGCCGGCGCGCTTCCCGGAGGAGTTCGCGCCGACGCCGGAGCCCCCGCCGCCGCCGGAGACGCCGCAGACGCCACCCGCGCCTACCACCCCACCGCCGGAAAGCCTACCCACTTTGCAACCTACCCAATTCAAGGTGAGAAAAATAAGTCTTACAATCATACGACGAAAATATAAATTAGTACGAATGATTCTATTTCATTTTATTTTTTAAACATATAGGTTTTTAATTAGAGGACAAAATTTTGTCGTATAGTTTCTAACAAAACGTTAGCGCACAAGTAAACTTAGTAATTCTGATCATAAACAGCTGGGAATTCGTAGAGCCCTATCAAAATAAATTGATCAATTGAATGAAGATTTGATTGAAATCTATAGCAGTAAATTTGGAGGTAATGTTTTTAGTAATATTCTTTCTCAAAACTTTTGTAAAGACTGAATCATTAAATGCATAATTGGCCTTAAACGTAAAGGGGTGTTATCAAATATTAGGTCAAACCTCGGTCTGCATTGATGCCCTCGGAGGAGCGCAAGTCGACGGAATCTGCCGAGGAGTCGCCGGGCAAGCGGCGGCGGCGGTCGCCCACGCCGGGCGTTCGCTCGCCCGCCTACTCCGACATCTCTGACGACGCCGCGCCCGCAGACTCCGCCGCTGACACGGACCCCGCGCACCGTCCTTTCCCCGTCTACCACCAGGTAACTTGTTCTACATAGCAGCCCGTCCACCAGTCTGCCTACTCCGACGACGCCGCGCCCGCAGGCTCCGCAGCTGACACGGACCCCTCGCAGCGCCCCTTCCCCGTCTACCACCAGATAACTTGTTCTACATAGCAGGCCGGCAACCAGTCTGCCTACTCCGACATCTCCGACGACGCCGCGCCCGCAGACTCCGCCGCTGACACGGAACCCGTGCACAGCACCTTCCCTGTCTGCCATCAGGTAACTTGTTCTACATAGCAGCCCGTCCACCAGTCTGCCTACTCCGACGACGCCGCGCCCGCAGGCTCCGCAGCTGACACGGACCCCTCGCAGCGCCCCTTCCCCGTCTACCACCAGATAACTTGTTCTACATAGCAGGCCGGCAACCAGTCTGCCTACTCCGACATCTCCGACGACGCCGCGCCCGCAGACTCCGCCGCTGACACGGAACCCGTGCACAGCCCCTTCCCTGTCTGCCATCAGGTAACTTGTTCTACATAGCAGGCCGTCCATCAGTCTGCCTACTCCGACATCTCCGACGACGCCGCGCCCGCAGACTCCGCCGCTGATACGGACCTCGCGCACCGCCACTTTCCCGTCTACCACCAGGTAACTTGTTCTACATAGCAGTCCGTCCATCGGTCTGCCTACTCCGACATCTCCGACGACGCTGCAATATTAATTAATTCCTAACATTTATGGTAAAATACTTGAGAATATATCTGATTAGTCTTGGTTGTATGTAACACAAAACAACTCAGTAAACAAAAACAAATTACCTGCACAAACAAATCAGAGTTTCCCCTAATTAGCACTATTTCAACATTTTCATGAGTAAACTAATTGTGTAGATAGCGAACGTTACTTACGTTATACGGCTAGCCCTCCTAGCATGAGCACCGCTATATGGTATATAACGCGTTTTTATCACGCTCAATTATCAAATTACTATGGAGTTTGAGTGTTTAACGTAAAAAACACGATAAAAAACGTGATATAATGTAAATTGTGGTGCTCATGCTGCAGGGATAGGAGTTACCTGGACAACAGTGTTATATGGTGTTTATCACTAATATGACAGCAGTATTCTAAAGTTATTTGTCGTTTGGTGTTCAGTACTACGGACAACCACCGTACCTGCCCCCCGCGCACGCCGCGCCGCCCCCCGCCGCAGACAAGGCCAAGGACGACCTCGTCAAAGGAGACCCCAAGATCGACCACAAAGTAAGGGGTTCATTTAACCCCTCACTTCACCTCCCGTTCATTTCCCGCTCTCTAATCTAACGCTTCTCTTTTGTTCATCTCGCATTCTCAATAAGTTTCATTTAGTAGAGTTATTTCTATCTGTATCCCAAACACGAACAAGTAGCGAGAAAGTATTCGTATCGCCATGTCAATGTACGTAACGTAACAAACTAGCTCATACCATAGAAACTTTGATGATAGCGATACGAATACTTTCACGCTAGTTATTCGTGCTTGTAGTACTTGTTTCCTCCAACCGATTCCCTGGAAATCCGTTTTCTATATAATTTTATATTCCCGTCGGATTGCTGTATCTTGGCATTAAAAGCCGTTGCAGAGGATCAGAAGGCAACAACTCTTCATTTAACCCCTTATTTATTATTACCCCCTGAGTTCCCCATTAATTTCAAGCTCTTATCACTATCATTCTCGCTTTAATCTAACGCTTCACTTTTGTTTCTCTTGCACTCTCCACAATCTAACAACCTCTTTGTTGGTTTCATTCCTATTTTTTCTCCTATTCCTTTCGTTTTATGTTTTTCAAACTTTTCAAAACCATATTTTCAGTTGCCATGAACTTCACTGCACATTATAATGTTTTTATTCTTTCACCAATATTTATTCTGTTTAATATAGCATACTTCATTATCATAATATAAAGTGATTTGTTATTTTTTACAACACACAAATCTTCAGATATTTCCATATTTAGTTAAAATGTTATACGTTGCGGTTTAAGTTATGCATCTTCATTTTATGTTCTGTCATTTCATCATGCTCGCCCCCGTGATTTTTATGTGACCTTTTTTCCAACTTCTGCTACCACCCTACGTTATAAATTTACTTATTTCAACTCGGTAATTTAATAATAAAGTACCTACACCTAAACTTAATTTATCTACTCGATTTTACAAGACTCGGAGAAAGTTCTTTTAAAATATCTATTCAAAACTTAAAATTAAAGCCAAATGAAGCTTTCATTAAGTTATAATTAAACAAATTGAAGAAAAACCACTGAATAGCAAGTAATAATATTAAGATTTCTCATTAATTTATATATTATTAAATAACTCAAGGCGATGCGATTAATCATCATAATTAAATGTCTTTTGATAAGAGAAATGCTAAAGCTCTTTCAGAGTTTCTTGTCAGTTGTCTAATGTTCGAATGATTAAATAAATTTGTTAAGATTCTCAGACTATATCTGTAATGAGTATTTCGTATTAACAGGACAACAAGTCGGACGGCGGTCCCCAAAAGGTGCTCCCTCAACATTTCTACCCGTACAATTACGTTCCAAATTTTCCCTACAACGTGGAGCCGGGAGGGCCGCCCCCGGGCGCCCCTCTAGACGACAAAGGAAAAGAAACTGACCGCTCTAAGACGACCCCTAGCCCCTTGGACAAGAGTAAGCAGCCTAGGCCAGCAGATGGCAAGGACAGTCAAGGCAGACCCAACGATAACCACCAAATACTAAAGGAGAGCATCGAAATGAAGGCACAGATGGGCTCGTATGCATTTCAAAGGCCACCGCATGCGAGAGAAGATGAATTGAGAAGGTAAGATTCAATTAAAAATATTTCTTTAAAAAGTCTTAGCGCTGTTGCCGTATATGAAACCTGAGATCAATAATTATTGAAGGACGCATCTATGTAGATAGGTAATAGATTAGGAAGACAAAAACAGGACAGATTATATCGAAACCCCTATAGACATATTATCTTTTTTGTGTTCGGAAGACATCGCTAAGTTATCTTGTCTGCATCTGCTATTAGCATACATCAAGATCAAAGATCTTCAAAATTTGCGTTACGCCCTACTAATAATAATAAACTAATACTTGAACGCCCACTTGCCCAATAGTAGTGGCATTAATAGCTTGTGATATGATGCCGAATACGAATGAGAAGCATGATGGCAAAGGTGGATAGCGCGTTCAGCCCGTAATCGTAGAAGTTAAGCAATTTTCACATTAGTCTGTCATTGGATGGATGACCAAAATTATCTCAAGCTCCTCCGTGCTGCGCAAGGCACGTTAAGCCGTAGGTCCCGTAGGTTAAAAAAAAAGAGTGGTGGGTCATGGTCCAATCTCACTATTCCATCCATATGGAAGGTCTGTGCCCCAGCAGTGATGATTAAATAAAATCAAATGTATTGAAATATAACATTGATCCAATCTATGTTAGTAATAAATTGGCACCTTATAAATATGTTAGTCAATGTCACTCATACTCAAATAAGTATTTATATAAATAGTTATTTAAATGATTTTATAAAATTAATAATACAGGTCTTAATTTAGTTCTTAATTCATATATGTCACTGTACCTGAACTAAGATATCCTGTGTTTCAGGCTAATAAGTAATTTTAAGATATAAAATAATCACTTATCATATAATCAATAGGCTGATTATGCAGATAACAACGAATAATCCAATCCAAATCTCTCACCACCCCCAGATATTACATGACATTAGAGCAGAGAAGGAAAGACGGCGGCGGGGAGGGGAAGCCCCCTTCCGCGGGACCGCCCGGGGCTCCCCAGGGGGCCCCGCCGGGGTCCTCGCCCGCGCGCGCCCCGTCCCAACACCAGCTTAAGCCCACGCAGAAGGATAAGGATGAGAAGCCCAAGGAAGAAGTGAAGGTAAGCTGTCTATATGTGTGACGACAGATGTGTTGAACGTCTCTAGCTCATGTAGCGCTTGTATGCAATAATTACCGTACGCCCTAGAGGGCCCTAGAGGGCGTACGGTTATTAGAGTAAGTGCGTGGTCAAAATGGAATGGTAGAGTGGCGCTGAGCACCTCCCACTTTTACTCAGGGAAATACATTGCGCATACCCTGCTACTGGGTGGGCAACAGCTTTATGTGGGATTCTCCATGCTGGCCTACCCACTAAAACCGGGGGGTGTGTCGTCACCTGTGACGATGTGGGATCCTTATTGGGAAGGGATCCCTATTGGGTGTTCAAATCTGGCTACGTTAATTTGCGATAAGCAGTAAAAATACTCGCCAAGAAAAAGAATAACAATTGACCTAGTTGGTTCGTCTGTTTGTAATGAAAATACATATAAATAATTTTAAGGTTTTTATGAAAAAGATGTAAAAATAGTTAGATTAGTAGTATTAACTCGGTGTCAATTTGAACTTTGTGATACTGGCAAACCCTTACGTACATAATACATAAAAATGTGTACGTAGATAACCATATTCACACAAGGGATTACTTGAAAAGTATAATGATATTTAAATCCGTTGTGATATTCATACGAATTCTTTTGAGGCGCTGATATGAAATCAGTTAAGGAAATATTTGATTTATGGCAACTGATTTGGATAAGGTCCAAATTTTTTATTTAATTGCTTATAAATCTGTTGTGTGATATTTACACCAATTTTATGTGTTTCTTGTGTGACCCTGATATGAAATCAGTTTCCATTTTACATTTTACGACGACCTCCGTGGCCGAGTGGTTTGTACGCCGGGTTTCAAGATGTCGTCGACTCGAGAGGTCCCGGGTTCGAATCCCGGTGGGGGCAGATGTTTGTGTGATGAATACGAGCATTTGTACTCCAGTCATGGATGTTTAATACGTATTTCTATATAAATATACTTATATATGTACTGTATATGTATTCTATCCGTTACCCTAGTATCCCGTAACAGAAGCCTTACAGTGATTACTTTGGGGCTAGGCTAATTGGAGTGAGTGTTGAAAATATTTATATTTATATATTTAATTTACCATCTCCAATTCTCCGCAGGTGAAGCAAGAAGGCCAGAAGCCAACGACCGAGACTCAAGGCCCTCCTCCTCCCCCCACTTCGCAGTACTACCTGCCGCCGTACATGCAGCCCCCGCATTACGGCGCCTTACCCTTTGACACCGTGTACCGACCGCCTTTAAGCCCCATGCTGGTTGGGGGCTTCGGTGGGGGGTGGACTGTACCCAGGTACTTATACTTTCACTTATAGTTATTCGTATTTGTTTCTTAGGTTTTCACGCACATAGGGTTACCATTCAGGAATTTCAAAAGTCCTGACAAAAAATCCTGACATTTGGAAAAAAGTCCGGACTTTTTAGTCACAAAATGATACCATTAATCACTTAGTTACATTAATATATATTTAAATCAATATGTACATTTATTATTATTCATATTCAATGTAATTTGAAAAATCCGGACAATTAAGAGATCCATACAAAGTCCGTATTATTATACTATGGTCTCAAAGTCCGGGCATGTCTGGACTAATCCGGACGGATGATAACCCTACACGCACATCACCTATTACATAAAACAGTTTTAACGAAAATGTTTGTGTGATGAATACGAGCAGTTGTACTCCAGTCATGAATGTTTAATATGTATTTCTATAAAAAAAAACTTATACAGGGTGTTACAGAAATAAAAATAAAGCTTGAAGGGCGTTGAAGTTCATCATATAAGGAGTCTTCTCTAATTTTCTTAAAATATTAAAAATAACTGTTTTTATAAAAAGTTAAAACTTCATGCAAATATTTTAAGAAAATTAGAGAAGACTCCTTGTATGATGTACTTCAACGCCCTTCAAGCTTTATTTGTATTTTTGTAACAGCCTGTATATGTACAGTATATGTATTCTATCCTTTACCCTAGTATCCCATAACACAAGCCTTATAGTGCTAACTTTGGGGCTAGGCTAAATGGTGTGAGTGTTGGAAATATTTATTTATTTATTATTATTATATCTTTTACGGTCGCACTCAGTTATGAGTAAAGTTTGCTACAACAGTAGAGTAGGACAATACGTTACATAAGAAGATATTAGACGTTATTTTGTATGGCTCTGATTTATTTATACGCCTAGATAGAGCAATACAAATAAATCACACAAAGAAAACGGCTTATGTTTCGCCCAATGTGTGTACGTGACTTAATGTCAGATTGTACTAAAGCAGTCAATATGTGCGTGTGTAGTGACGTGCATATCTACCATATTTAGTAGATATTTTTATGCCGTTTTCGTGCAGTTAATACGGTATCTAGGGAGTATATAATCAAAGGTGTGACTGTTAGCCCGATAGCTTGCCTGCAATGCAAAGAAATGGCGCTGCCTAGCAGCTTAAAAAAATACTTGAAGAAATTGGACACGGTCATTAAGGTGTGGTATTGATGGTATTGTAGAGATAAGTGCATCCGCCCGGTCAGCCTAAGGCGCAAGTTCGAATCCTGCCTGGAACCTTGACTGAGTGGATTTGTTCTAGTAAAAATTTTCTTCAGATATTTTTGAAGATGGATAACTTGACATCAGTCTGTCCCTTTCATCCCTTATAAAACATGATATTGTATTTTTCCTATTTCTGTACTGTACTGTGTGTGATTTCAATAAAGTACTGTGTATTGTATGAGGACAGACTGTTCTCAAACTTACAAATAGCCAAGTAAAGTGCTGGCATCAAATATTGATTTTCTTCGTCGATATTTATGTATCTTTTACCTTATCCAGGTACCACGCCCCCGAGGATCTGTCCCGTCCTGGAGCGCCCGGGAAGTTGGAACTGTTGCCGGGACACGGGGCGCAGTATTACGGCGGCCACGGGGGACACGGCGGACATGCGGGACACGCAGGACATACGGGACATGCGGGTAGGTTTACATGTTAATCTATATAAATATAAAAATCAATTGCTGTTCGTTAGTCTCGCTAAAACTCGAGAACGGCTGAACAGATTTATCTTATCTTGGTCTTGAAATGTTCGTGGAGGTCTAGGGAAATTTTAAAAGGTGAGAAAATATGGAAAAATTGCAAGGAAGATAGTAAAAATACAATTTCATTTTTCCATTTTAACTGTTCTATCTTTATACCTGTGAAACATTTGACGTTCGTCGTTTATCATTTCTTCCAAATTTAAGCAGTACGAAGTACTGGGTCAGCTGTTTGTTTATAAAAAATATATAGGTTATGTTTTATGGTGTTTTTTTCTGTATGGTCGAGATTTCATTGATAGTTACTTACACGATTTTTATAAGCTTCGTCTAAATAATACTACTTTTTGGTTGTGTTGCGTAACGTTTCTGCCGATGGGGTAGGTTCTAGGACCTAACGGTTAGGGGAACCACATATGCACAATAGGATATATGCATGATTTTTTTATATTTTAATTTAATAGTTTACATCCCCTTTATAGAGTATAGAAAAATACGCGCTATTTTGTAACGCTTGGATGTGACGTCACGATTGATTAAACCTACGAACAAGATCAATGACCTTTCAAGGTACAGAGATTTTGCGTTCCATACCTTCACTGCGGAGGGAAGTTGAAACCGACGTCAATCAAATAGGCATAATGTGTCATACATTTTTGGTATTAATTTAAATGTCGTAGTGAAACTTTGCACTCGGTGTCTAGGTGGAACGCGGCTTTGACATCTACGCACTTACTATAATCCCGTTGACAATGGCATATCCTATGCAAATCACGGTTGGTTGGTTGTTTCGTGAATACGTCACCACCGCTCTCGTCGCGTTTCAAATATTCGAATTGCCCACAAGTTTTTCGCACTTTTATATCATTAATTTCTTGCTTGAATAGAAATTTTATTAACAAATATTGATGGATAACTTAGAACCTGGGTTCCGAACCTGGGGGTAATTACCCCTCGGGGGGTAAATCGGCCATACTTTGGGGGTAACAAAGAACCTACCTAATTATTTGGTCAAATCTAAATAATAAGAAAATACTATATAATAATACTACTAAATAGAGCATGCGCTCCTTCTTGCTAGCGAGTCCGCCGCGGGGTGCTGAGTGTGGGAAGCGTGACATTATTAGAGACAAAGATGTAGCGGCCAAATTGGAATTTCTTGGACTGATGATAACATTTTAAAGTCGGGGTAAAATCTGTTTTCCTAATAGGTTACAGGGGTAGCAGTATTGGAAAGGTTAGGAAACACTGACTTAGAAGTAATAGTTTATATAAAAATAAAATTAGGCTTATTTGTATTACATGCACATTCCCTATTGCACATTGTTGACATCCAACCAACGTAACGGTAGTTCGGGATATTCTCGTGTCTCGTGAAGTTTTTTTTACTGAAATGGCTTTTGCTACATGGTACTCATTTTGTTAACTACTCTTATGTTATGTTTATGTTCTTATGATGGGTTACCTATAATGCGAAGAGATGGCGCTGCCTTGCAGCTTAAGAATGGCTAGAGGAATTTCGGCGCGGCCATCAGGGCCGCCGTAGCATAATTGGTCAATGCATTTGCCCGGTTAGCGAAGGGTGCGAGTCCCGTCTGCTGCTTGGACCGCGTGGATTTTTTTCTAGTTATATTTTCTTTAGATTTAAACATCAAGCAGTTACATGCTTAAAAAATAAAAACTCTTGTTTATATGGCGCTGCTGGTCAGGTTACGATTCGTCCTGCCATTGTGAAATTTAAGCAACTTTCGCAATCGCCGCTCATTGGTTGGGTGACCAAAAACTTACTCTCTCGAGCTTCTCCGTATTTCGGAATGCACGTTAATTCATTGGTCCTGGCTGCAGCTGCAGTCGTTTGTACTGACCAATCCGCACTGAGCCGGCGTGGTGGGTCACGGATCAATCTCTTTATTCCATCCATATGGAAGGCCTGTACCACTGCAGTGGAGACATTAATAGATTGATGATAATTACTATTTTTTTTAAACTACTTTTAATTTTTATGTCAGTTGTTCTTAACCGGTGGTCCACAGACCATTGGTGGTCCCTGGCAGCACTCAAAGTGGTCGTCCACGAAGCCATTCGAAAAATATATAACATAGAAAGGACGCTAAATTGACTTACTTTAACTGTAAATGGTGGTTCGCGGCGAGACACACATTTTGACAAATGGTCCCTCGTTTATGTGATAATAACGTCATACAAACCACTCGTTTGTACGCCGGGTTTCATGGTGTCACCTAGTCTAGAGGTCCCGGGTTCTAATCCCGGTGGGGGCAGATGTTTGTGTGATGTTTAATAATGTATTTCTACAATAAACTTATATATATACAGTATATGTATTCTATCCGTTACCCTAGCATTCCATAACACAAGCCGTACAGTTCTTACTTTGGGGCTAGGCTAATTGGTGTGAGTGTTGGAAATATTTATTTATTATAATGGAAGTTCAAAACAATGTAATTATTTCATTTATCATCCCCCAGGTCACGCGCCCCACAAGATCCACGAATTACAGGAGCATGCCAAGTCCCCAGCGGGAAAACCCCCGGGACCCCGCGCCGACGGACCCAAGGACCCCGCGCGCAGCCCCCCGCCCCAGCGACACGTGCACACCCATCACCACACGCACGTGGGGCTCGGGTACCCGCTCTACCCGCCGCCCTACCCAGGTGACTATACAGATACACACTCGAACACATGTACACGACCATACATACTAGAGGTAGCGTTAATGGTTAAAAAATAATCTATTATAAAATTCTCCTGTCACGGTGTGCGTAATTGAATTACTCTGAAACGGCTCGACCGATTTTCGTGAAATTTTATATGCATATTCAGTTTGTCTGAGAATCGGACAACGTCTATTTTTCATCCCCCTAAATGTTATGGGTGGTCCACCCTTTTTTTGTTTTTGTTTTGGACAGAATTTTATATTTATATTTTTTATGATACATCATACAAAAAATACATAATAATCCTTCTACCACCAACCCCAATTTTTTTATGGCGGTACGAAGTTCGCTGGGACAGCTAGTATTAGTTATAAGGTAATAGCTGAAGATAATATCAGATAATTTAATGATTGAAAATATCAGTTAATATTCAAATACAAAATCTGAATATTTTTTTGAATGTTGATTTAATTAACTATTAGGATTCTGATTGAAATTATTAATGACGATAATTTTATCAGTTGGTTGCATTTATCTATACGTATTAATATTACTCTTGCGTTAAAATCAACACAAATTGAATGAATATTTTAATTCGATATGGTTAAAAATATTTTTCGTTTTTTTTTATAATCTTTTTTGTTTTGGGCCTTTGTTCTTTGACATGGCAGCTCCATCGAGACAGAAATATTTTTTGATTACTTTAACGGTTGATAAATATATTGAACAATACTATACGGTGTGTATAACCAACCAACATGTACGACGGCTGAAGGTACCCGCAGTAAAATTTGCACCACTAACGGGCGTCCACATGTTATGAAATGTGAAGTTTATGGCTGGAATAATTAATTCCAATAATTCGACACCATAATTAAGTTTAATAAAGTGGTTCATGGACTATGAAAACTATGAATCCACTAAGCTTTCCTACTCATGTGCTTGGACGATTGTTGATGAGACTTTTCACTCCAATCCAGCTCCCCTAGCATGAGTACCGCAATGTGGTATATAACGCGTTTTTATCACGCTTAATTGTCAAATTACTATATAGTTTGACGGTTAAACGAGATAAAAAACTTGACTTAATGTAAATTGTGGTGCTCATGCTACAGGGACAAGGGGGACAAACTTGGGTGCTTCCAAAGAGCTCCCGTCATTTCAGGGAGCCGATTGTTAACGATTGTGTTTGTATGTTGCAGCCGCCGCCGTATTGGCCAGTACGCAGGCTGTCGTGAACTCGTTTCCAACGCCGCCCAAGTGAGGGGCGCCGCCTAAGGAACCCGCGCGAATATCCCGCGCATTCTGACCTCACTTCGAACCTAGTGTAGTGCGATATCCCACGGACCCGATCTCCATGCCAGTAGCCATAACTTAATTAAAAAAAAAACTAAAAACAAAACAAAACTGTGATCTCGCGTGTACCACGAAATGTGTATGTGATGTGCGCTTTGAATGTTCTAGTGACTATTAGTGAACTTATATCGTGACGAGTGTCGTGTTATGACTCCCCCGAGTGGCTGTTGTGTACCCCGCGGAGGCTTATGGACATTAAAAAACGCCTCCGCTATGTGTCCGATTTGTTTTATATGTCTAGTGGAAGCACAAACTAGCTCTGTAAATATTAGTGTTACATGTAAATTACGTTACGTCGTCAGCTCCGACGCGAGAGGGTTTAATTGTAAAAAATATAAACATCGAATTCTCCGAATCACAATCCAATCCGGGCATTGTACTGATGTTGGAAGCCCCTACAAAATTAATGTCATGCGAATACAGCATATTTGAGATCTTCTATTTATGAATACTGCATTCCACAAAGAAAGCGAGCGTACCTAGATTTTAAAAGCGTTTAGACTAATAATTAATCTTAAGTAATTACCTATAGTGTAAGTTTAAAGGCGTCAATGTGATCATTACATGAGTCGTAGCGTGCACAAATCATACTCTATCTCGATTATAGTGATGAATGATTTATATTGTAAAACGTAGAGAGCATCCTATAGAGTCGTGGAGTGTTTGGGCATTGCTGTATGTGTATTGTATGTCTGGCTTTTAAAGATAAATACATAAATATTATTCTCTTAGTCCGATATTCTTACATACAAGGGATTAGACATTCACTACTTCTTATATTACGATTCCACATCGGCCTTGATGCGGTGCGTCAAAAATTGTAGGTTTTTGTTAAACCACACATAACCATTTCTGTATTGCATTCATTCGTACTTTTGGAAAATTGTCTGTATGCTAGCTCAAGATTGAGAACCATTGTTTTGCATTTAATCTCCATGTACCTGGGGTCATGTTGATGAAAATCATATAAACACCGAGGAGAGGAAACTACAGCTAGCTAATACTGCATATTAAAAAAATATTCAAAAATCATGACTTATGTTGGGTCCTCGTTGTATGTATCTTTTTGAATCAACATGTCGTCTGAATAAGGTACTCTATTCATACCGCCTAAATGTCAAGATTGTAACATGCGGTATGGTATTTTTTCGATACACATATATATAAAACAGTCTTCCAATTGATTTGAGGTTTTGTGATTAAGCAATCACACACACATATTCAAACCTTTATTTTAAACTAAAAAAACAATTACATTGTGAAGTGTATTTAAAATAAAATGCAATAGTTTTTTATTGCATTAAGCGGAAAGGTGTTGGTGGATTGCATTCTATTAGATGAACATTAAGACTCATATTAGAGGAGATTAAAAAAACTATTGTAATAATGAAACAATATTATTTTCATTAAATTTTAGTCATTGTACGCACGTACCTGTTTCTTACTCTTAAAATTATACACAAATCAATATTTATAATGTATTTGCGCAGGGCCTAACTAACCCCCATCGACATTTATTTTACAAAAGCCAGTGACTATGTGAGATTTTGTTTTCTATTTTTTATTGGCAATGTTCTGAAACACAATTTTGAATATAACCATTGTTAGTGTATTGATCAGTGAAAGATCATATGCGTCGTCGTCATGTAGAAGAAATTACAATTGTAACTACTTATATTATTACTCAAACTGAAGTTGTTATTACCTATGTTTGTTCACTGATTACTGCAGAAATCTATAAACAATTGATAACTACTGTAATGTAAATGCCAACATACAAATTTGAACCTAGTATGAATGTAATAAGAGAGCATGAGCAAGATGGATATCATGATCTCAAACGCAGTGCTCGGTGCATCTGTGAATGCATAGACTGATCGTTTCATTTTATCATAAACAATCTAGTCAGTACATATTTTTTAAAAACCGAAACTGAAACACTGCAAATACTCTTCTTTTCTGTGACAAAGCGTCAGAGGCAAGTTGTTTGATGCCATCGCTAAAACAGTAGCTCAGTCTTTGAACATACTCCTACGTACGTAACTCCCTTGAAGAGTGACAGATTATAGGCAACTGAGCCAAATAAATATACCTACTAGTATAATTTCTAATTGATGAACCTAAACGAGAACCATAATATATTAGTTTTAAATCGTTATTTATGCTCTCGCTGGTAATTGACAATAATTTCGTTTAAATTTTGACGGTTTACAGTGTTTTATGTACTGACTAGAGTGAGTTAAGGCTGCGAACACGCGATATTACGCTTTCGATAATTTGTATCGGACACCAGTGCAGACTTGGTTGATACACGTCATTGTATTTATAATGTATTCATATAATATGAACATTTGTGTATTTTTTGATGTAACTAAATCCAAGTTTGATTTTCTTAGAAAAGAACTCGAGACAGTTGGAAAAAAAAGGAATAATAAAGATAAATTATTTCTTATCAATGTGTTTTATTTCAAAGCCCATGTTACATTGTTTACTTATAGGGTAATGTCATGTGCAAGATTATGCTATTATGAAAGTTGTGAGGTTTGACTAGGAGGTAAAGGGATATTCATTTATTCTATTTCAAACCAATTCAATAAAAGTGCTCGTGCACAGACTATTTTTTTCTGGGCAATTAAAAATACTGAAGAGAGTAGGTAAAATATATTACAGCCGTACTCCTATTAACCTTTATATCGTTATTACTGAAAATGTAACGATTTTGAGGCTCAATTTATATCGCCGAGGTATGGAATGGAAGCTAATTTTTGCAACGAAATTGACATGGCATAATGAATTTATGTTCTTTATGTCAATTGAATAAGATGCACAATTTCATTTCTAAAATCGCTTCCATTTCGTTCCGCGGCGGTATAAATTGAGCCTTAATGGCATTTAATTAATTAGAACTCTAAGTAAGGCGGTTAAAGTATAATAATCAATTTATTCTTTGACGTCACAACTATTGAAGTGGCAATTTACTATTACTTAATACAAATTTAAAAAAGTTTAGCTCTTTTTAGAATTGGTTTGAAACTTAACGCTGAATATCAAAGACGTAATGGTAACTTATATTTAGATGCTATAAATTACAAAGTGTATAAAAATTAAAGCTTACTTAATTAACTCGATAAAATAAATTACACAATTGTAAAATACCTACTTAATGAAAAAAATACTGCTAATTAACTTTGATATTTAGACGGTAGGGTTCGTGCATTTTGTACAAATGTGATGGTTAAACTAACATTCTGTAACATTACACAAAAATTAAATAATTTCCTTTAATTAAAATTTCTTTAATATTATGCTTAGTAACACTCGGAAGAGTAAAAGTTTAAATTTTCTCTCAATTTCAATTCCTTTTCTTTTTCATTGGAATAAAAAACCTGTTTATATTTACCTACGAAAACGCGATACAAAGGGAATAGATTTGGCCTATCGACCCACCGACATTTAGATTGTTTTTCGAAATCTCGGATGATGAAAATTTTATGAAAAGTAACATGAAACAATGCACAAACCGTGTCCTGCCATAAAAACCCCCCAAAATGTCTTCCAGTCTGCTTGCTTTTTCGTGCTTACCCATACATACCACTTTCATTTCGCCATTTCAAAAACTAATCAAAATGGCGGCCGGCGAGTCAATAGGCCAGCTTCCATACAAAAAAGTTCTAACCCCTATATCATAACTTTACTCTGTATATTTATTTTAAATCTTTGGAATGAATTTACCACTACAGTTTTCTTTCTCTGTCATACGTAAGAAGTATCCAAAAGACTAATATTTGAAATAAAAGCTGCACTATATCAATAATAAAGTTACAGTGTATTTATATTTCAAGTATAATTGGTCCATGGTTATTTTTTTACTCTGAATAAATATAACAAACGTTCAACATTTTATACAGTGAATTATTTTTAACATTACGCAAGCAGATTATAAGTTTATTTCTACATCATCTAGTGAACTCTGACGTAATCTATGAAAAAAAATGCAATTTAATTTTAGTGGCATGCTACAGAATTGAATCTTACAATTGCTTTTATAACTAAATAAAAGGGCCACTTGCATGAACATTCTGAAATCAAATTAAGACTTAATGCTGTTTAACAAATCTTTCCATTTATGTTAATTATTGTTAAAAGTCATTATAGAGTTAGAATGAAGCTAAAATTATGATTAGCTTTAAAATATGAATTTAGAACTTTGGTGTAAGTGGGCCTAAATATCGTAATATATTAATAAAAATATTACGAAGGAAATATTCGTGGTTACTTTGGTATTCCGGTAGATCGTAAGGCAAAGATAAATTATTTCTTACGCTAGGTAGCGGCATAATTATTATCTTAGCGGTAATTTGATAGGTATTAAATTTACTATCGGATTTCCATATCAATGGTAACATGAATTTTGTTAATATTACTGTCTTGTTTTCTTTGGGTGATATTAAAATAGTGAGTCATATTTAAATTTATTTGAATCATTCAAAACAATAGTTAATTAAACATTCAGTTGTATTTATTATGCTGAGTTCAAATGTCGCTTATTTCTCCCGCTCCTTTTTTGAACATTAATTCAATATACGTTAAAATCACAGTGTCTAGAATCAATATATATATTTCAAAGTTTTGATAGAAACTTTACAAAATGAATATTTCACAAAAGATATTAGTGTTATACAAATAATGTAAATACATGAAAAATACATTATTTTAAAAATCGATTAACGAGTCCTTATTAAAATAATTTCACGTTTATTGGCAAGTTAAGAGATCTTATCAAAAAAAAAATCAGAAGTCTAACAAATACAATACCTATCAAAAATAATACATTGAAATTTCATTTCTTTTTACATATTCACAACCAATTTACAATATATATTTTAATGCAGTCAGTCAAATGTCAATCTATATCATCAGGACGCAATTGCCTTTCCCCTTCGCTGATGAATATTTGCATAGCTTTATAAAGAAGATAGAGACCTAACATCCGCCTTTCTTTTAAAGGCAGCGACTCGGCAACACCATAATAATTGCCAACTTTTAAATTTTTCAGATTGGCAACACCTAAAACGTCAATCATGGCGGCTTCGTAAGTGTAGGCCTCTGCTGGAATCACGTTTTGAAATATATGTAAACAGATCACACCAACCTTGTTGGACCATATGTCTAGGATGTGTTGCACTTTCTTGTCTTTGGATGTGGTGAAGTCGCGCTTCCACAGAGTCAACGCTTGGTATAGGTGGGAATAAGGTCTCGATCGCTTACCTGAAATGCCACACAATTTCTTAAAATTTTCTTTTCAAACTACTTTTTTATGTTAGAAGGTCGGCAAACAAGCATAAAGTGAAAGCTTTATAGTAAGCGACCACATTAGCATTTAGACGTTTGCGATACAAAAAATATCACTCGCGCCCAATCCCCTACCCCACGAAGCCCTGGAACCTTACTCAGCGACAGAAACACAACTTCTTTATTAAACTTCTATATTAAAATGAGCCTTTGCTTGTCTGTATGACCGTGAAGATCTCAAAAACTTCTGAACGGAATTCTATGAAGTTATAACCATTAGGGCTCATTTACACTTGGTTGTTAGCCCGTATTCGGTTGCACGAAAGAGATTACTTGAATTCGGGCACACGAAGCAATATTTACACTTGAATATACGGGCTGGAAGGTGTCAGGTAACCAAAACGAAAACTATACGAATACGGGCGTACTCGACTCCGTTCATTTACACTTAGTCCCTTACCCGAATTTCATTGGCACTCGTATTCGGGATAACGACCAAGTGTAATCGCGCCATTAGTTAGAAGCACAACATAATAAAAACTAAAGGGGTTCACCAAGGCGAAATGAGTGCTGGTCTCTGGTTACATGGTTTATAAAGATGATACATGTTTTTTTTAAATGTAAGTAGATTAACGGTATTCCTATTTAAGAATCAGAACAACGATGATATCCAACATCTAAATAAACAAAAGATTATAAAGATACCTAATTTAATTTCAAACGAAAAGCCTTACTTATTATGAAACTGAAAAAGTACTTATACGAACTATCACGTATTATCAACGAATTAGAAATAATAAGGACGATGAACTGCGCTAAAAAGTGGTTCCATGCGAACTGCGATCGACATATATCTATTCAATGAATGGATAGCTGAATTCATTTTGTCTTGATGATTGCATGATTGATTGCTGCATGATTTGTCAAAGTATTTTGTTTTGCCTGTGTGCGTATCGCGTTAGTATTGAACTAAAGTTGTATGTGTTTGGAACCATGTTTTAGTGGCCTTTGTTAGAGAGTAATGCTTCCACGAGGAGCTCGATGGCGCAGGTGGTAAGCCTGCGATCGTTGAAGTTAAGCAACTTTCGCAGTGGTCGGTCATTGGATGGGTGACCAAAAATCTTCTATCTCGAGTTCCTCCGTACTTCGGAAGGCATGTTAAGCCGTTGGTTCCAGCTGCATCTGCAGTTAGCTAGCTAGCTAGTTAGCACCCACCAATCCGCACTGGACCCGCGTGGTGGGTTACGGCTCAAACTCCCTAGTTCATCTATAGGGAAGGCCTGTGCCCCAGCAGTGGGGACATTACTACGCTGATGATGATGATGATGAATGCTCCCATAATATTATTACTAATTTGTTGCATATCACGTGAAATTTAAATATATGCATGCTCTAGCGAATCTAAGAGACAAATACTAAGCATTTGTTTTAATGAAAAATAAGTCAAGTTTCATGAAACGATAAAAAAACATTAAATTTTCAACCTTACCTTTTCCAACATAGAATATTGAATTCACAAACGTGACCCATGAGAGATTGGGCGATTGTGTAGCGGCTTTCGAAGGAAGGTTTTCCGTAACTCGCGGGTCCAACAGTAAATACGTAAAGGACGTCTTATTCGATCCTTCGCGCCATTTCTTATTCGGATTAGCAAAATCAGCCCTAATTTTGTTCTCTAGTTCCACATAAGGCGTCAAGTTTTTAGTCCATTCGTCTGAGCGCAAGGATTTCTCCAATTCTAAACTGTATGCTGCAAGAAATTTGTTTGTATGTTTTGAATAAGGTCTTCTTAGAACTTTGGGAATGAATAGTGGGTGTGTCCAGGAAATACGGCACAGAAAGCTTTTGGATAACAAAACTATAGCAAGTTCACTGAATGATTTGAATGCCATTAAGAAAGAATAAATTAATTAAATGTTACTGAAATTTATATCATGCCTTTGTCAAAATGATAATGGCAATAATTATGTCAAGATTCTATCAATCAAAATGACAGTGCATTTTGTAATTTTTACTATTGAATAAAGTTATTATGTTAATTGAATTCAATTATTATAGGTTTTTGATTATATATTATTCATCATTCTCATGTAATTGATTAAAAAAAGAATATGCTATTGTTTGATTGTATCATTCTAGATCTACTTTAATAATTTACTGTTCATAAAATGAGTATTACCAACCATTAAATCCTATTTAATATTTGGTAATTTATGTATTCTTTATTTTATTATATATTATTTTTATTTACTTACTTCTATAAGAAAATTTTATGGTTAGACTATGATAGGGCTGTAATAGACAATTTGGTCCAAGTTCCTAAAGTTATAAACATTAAAAAACACTTGTGTCCCAAAAAATCGAAAAAAGCAATAATAATATAACAAGTACACTTGCTTTTGCCTTGACTGCTGATCACATTAAGATTTCTCTTTAACGCTTGCAGTTTCTTCATATACAGCTTTCTAGTAGTGTGTTGGATCGGTCCAGGTTGGTAACCTAATTTAATTAGTTCACTCCTAAGAGTGTTGTCGTCATATTGCACTGAAGTCGGCAATGAAGATGCCACAGACAGTAAAGTTTGGCCAGTTTTTTTTCCTTTGGTAGTACAATATTAGTGACTAGTAAATAAATAGATAATTCTTTTCATTTAAATATTTTCTTTCTTATTATTAGATTGTTTATGTAAATTGAATACAGAACTGACTAAGACGACTCAGCAATAATACGAACACGACTAAGCAATAATAATATAACAAATACGAATTATATTTAATACCCTAGATACAACAATACGAACAAAATCGTGACCAAAACCTGTGCAAAAGGTACATTGGACGATCCACGGAGCTCCTTAAGGTGTGCGCGTAGTCAAAAACAATATAAGGCATTATTTAAACATTGAAAGTCACCTTTAGTGCATACTGCATAAGGTTTCGGTAAGGTTAAGGACAGTTCGCAATGCAAGACCGTAATTTTTTTTGACTTGTTGCTACAGGTGGAAGAATATAGATTTTAATTCTTTGACTCTACGCGCAATTCTGAATGCGCTGTTCTGTTAGCCATATTGCAGGTACGGACCGCGAGGGCAAGAGACGGCTATATAACCGACCATGCATTTGAATATCAAACATTTTTTATCAAATCAGTTTACAGTATATTTTAGAACGAAATTTGCTTCAAATGCGTAAAATTAACTAACATTGATTAGATACCTGTTAAAAGAACAACACTCTACTTACGAAAAGTATTCTGTTGCTTTTTATCACGGAGTTCTGCAGCATGTTGGTTTACTTTTCAACGGTCCGCGCGTGTCCAAACACTTTTTGATAGCGACACATTTTGAGCGCACGTGTTTTATCTAGGGTATTTAATATCGTTGAACTAATACACTTACTTTTGCCTTGACTGCTGATAACAATGGGATTTCTCTTCAATGCTTGCAGTTTCTTCAAATACAGCGTTCTAGTAGTCTGTTGGATCGGTCCAGGTCGGAAACCTAATTTAATTAGTTCACTCCTTAAAGTGTTGTCGTCATATTGCATTGAAGTCGGTAACGAAGATGCCACAGAAACTATAGTTTGGTCAGGGCTTGATAGATCTGCCCCCTCCTCTATTGGTAGACTATAAAACGGATAAAATAATCTCATGATAAAATAGTAACAATTGATGTGCTTACAAATTTTGTTTGATACAATCCCTATTGCATCAAACAAAATTTGTATGTTGTAAGCACGGGTTGTAAGATTACTGACTGTTTTTTCTTTGTCTATAAGGTAGAATATCATTTTTTTTTCTTTTTCAAAACATTACAAACATATGGGAAGTTCTACTATCTGTTCTGTTATAAAAGTATCTTGACGTCTACCTAAGGGTGTTCTTATACTGATCTCGAAACGGGCCATCAAAAAATCAAATATACGAAACTTATGACCATTGCGAGTAGTACCACCCATATTATATTGATTTGAAATGCAGCTTGACGTCACGTCTTGGTACATTTGTTGCTTAGAAGTGACGTCACGAGCACGAGTATTTTTGGTTGATTGGCAAATGAAAAAAATGTGTCCATTATTTTTGATAATCTAACTGATGAACTAAAGAGAATTTCTTTTACTTTACCCCACCATCGTCATAATTTAATAACAAATATCTAAACTTTCACTTTTATAATATTAGTAGGGTTCTTTGAACTAACACACACGCGAGGCTGTCTATAAAAAAATATTTAATAAGTATAACCAACCATATTACTGCAACAGTTGTTGTGTGCAAACTAAGTTATGGAAAATATGATTTATAAATAATATTATTATAAACATAATACTCACACTACAGGTGACGTCATTAATCTTTTCTCTATGAGAACCACATTTTCCTCCTTATCCTCGTATTTATATTCTTCATGCATGCTAGCTAGCATGATACTTCCACCTGAGTAGTTGCTACTCACACCACTACTGGCCGAAGATCTCCTCGTATTAATTGCATTGATATCAGTAACAGAAGAAATATTGCTATACAGAAACTCATTTGTTTTATTTTGGATAACAATTAGGGCTTTGTCTAAGTCTACATTCGACGAATCATCTGTTATCAAAGATAAGGTATTATCGAATGTTAACATATGCTTCATATCTGAGCACAGGGAAGATACAGAACATTTCTGACACTTTTTCAAACTACTTTTCGTATTGTAGTTTTGATGTGTAATACTGTTGGGGGAGCCTGGCAGAGAAAAGTTCTCATAGACGCTCATTCTGCTTTTCTTCCCATCTGAAATAGAATTGTGACCACAGGAGCAATCTGCTTGATGTGTAGTCGATTCAAGACGCTTAATACCACTAATTTCTATGTCACCAGGTACATTTTTCGTCAAACATGTCTTAAAGCTATTATTTGTTTCATTCAATTCAGTTTTGTCTGAATTATTATTATCCTTACTGAGATCACAACTTGAGTGTTTGGTAAAATCACTGCTTTTCCAAGGTACTGATTCGTTTTCTATTAAGTATGTTTCACCTAATATTGTAGGGTAAAGTTTGTTAATAACATTACTGCTTTTTTCGCACCATTCGCGTACCATCTCCGATTTTCTGGGTACGGTTATGTCGCACAAATTATTTCTCTCTATTGGTTCGTATTGAGCAACCATATGGTCTGTAGTCACTAACACTTTGTCTGAAATAATATATGTCAACTACAATCAATATGTGAATATATTTTATACACTTTGGTACCAACTAGATTTCTCATGGCAGGAAATCACACAATTTTTCGGCGATCCTGCGAGCAGGCCTGAAGGCAGCATTGTATTACTTTCACATTCATAAGAGTTTTTTGAATACACTGTCAGATGATATACGAGAGGAGGTCAATAAGTTCCTGGAATGGAGGGGTTGGTGAGGGTAGGATTACTCGTCCAGGTAGGCACTAGTTGAGCCCCTCATTAAGAGTATATATACCAAGTTTGAACCGAATCGGGTCATTAACTTTTGAGTTATCGACCTGCAAACAACTGAATTGGGAAGAAGTCAGCCAGTATGGAGAAAATTGAATACCGAGCCGTTATTAAGTTCCTTACCAAGCAAGGAAAATCCGCTCAGATAATTTTTCATGAACTGTTGGCGGTTTACGCGGACTCTGCCCCTGGTTAAACCATGGTTTACAAGGGGCATGGTCTTATCAAACAAGGAAGAGAGTCCATTGATGACGACCCCCGCACTGGACGGTCAATGTAGGCTACCACACCGGAAATCGTCGAAAAGTAGAAAAACTTGTATAGGAAGATGCCCGGTTGAAGAAGAAGCAGCTTGCAGCAATGATTGGAGTATACGAAACAAGTATTTTGAATATTCATCATCTTGGTATGACTAAGGTCAGTGCAAGGGTTCCGAGAATGCTCACGCCACTTCAAAAACGCGAGCGTGTCGAGTGTTCTCCCCAGTTTTTGGAGCTCTGTGGAGAGAGAAACGAAGAAGTTATGGCCCGAATCGTTACTGGTGATGAAACCTGGGTTCACCAGAAAGAACCTTAGTCAAAGCAAGAGTCGATGCAGAGGAATAAAAAAGGCGCACCTCCTCCAAAGAAGTTCAAAGTGACACAATCGGCTGGCAGATCATGGCGACTGTCTTTTGGGATACGGAAGGTATTTTACTGATCGATTATAAGGAACGTGGTGTGATTACAACGGGACAGTACTACGCTTCTTTACTGCAAAGAATGAAAGAACCCATCTAGGAAAAAAGACGAGGAAAGCTGTCAAAAGGTGTGCTCCTTCTGCACGACAATGCACCACCCGTTCACACGTGCCACGTTGCGACGGCTGCCGTTCACCGATGCGACTTGGAACCCTAACCCTACAGTCCAGATTTGGCACCCAGTGACTATTTTTTATTTCCAAAAATGAAAAAAGAGCTGCGTGGAAAGAAATTTGACTACAATGAAGAAGTGAAGTCCGCAATTTCGGACTATTTTGACACCAAAGACAAATAAACTTTTTTTCGATGGGATAAACAAGTTATTTGAGGCATCTGAAAAATGTATTAGGGTTAAGGGAGAATATTTTGAAAAGGAACAATAGTTTGGTGTTTAATTTCAACCTCCTTCCCTCTAATTCCGCGAAATTTTTGACCTCACCTCGTACATACTATGTCGGAGACTTGACTATTACTTTTTTAATGCTAAATGTTTAATTTAAAGGCGCAACAATACACGACATAACGACAAGGATGGGACAGAGCATAACGACACACATCTACGTCAAGTTAAGGAAACACCAGTATTTCAGATCTGTTTCATACTTTCATACTCTGGCCACATGGATGTGATATGAGACTAGTGTTTTCATATATGCATGCACAAACTGTTGATAAATGTGTGGATTTTAGGTAATATTTAAGTGAGCATTCATAAAATATTCTAATTAGTAGGGAATTAATTAAAAAAAAATAACAATACCTAAATCTAATGTATATGCACATTGAGATCCAAATGAGTCATCGAGTTGATCTACAACATTGTGGAGGTAGTCGTACACATCCCATTGCTGCTCCCTAGCAGCATAGTCAAACGCTGAGTGTCCATCTAGGTCATGCCTGGATGGGTCACCACCACAGCCTATCAGAAGCTTCAGGTTGTCCACGCGACCCCATATGGCTGCTATGTGAACTGGGGTTACACCATCATCATTGCTGTAACGAGGAAAAGTGGTAGGAATTTCTTTGTCCAACTACAAAATCAGGAAACCGAAATATCTATAGAAAAATATTCAATCATATATTGTTTATCATTATGTTTTGCTTTTTTTTGTCATTTGTAATGTCTTATCAAATCTCAATTTTACTCTATGTTAGTAAATTATATGATTTTTATACTGTTTTAATAATAAATGTGATATAGGTATAAAGTAACGCCATTATTATCTAATGTGTACATAATAAGTTTCTGTAATTGGCCCAAAAATTGTATTAATATTTTATTGTATTATGTCCACAAAAATTGCTGTAGAAACTTTGTTAAAGATCAATAACTAAAGAAATGCATATTTTGTGTTCTTGTAATGGTAAATTCATATAATGTAGTTAAGAAATCTATCAGATAAAAAAAATTTTTTTTTTGTCTTACTTCAAATAGGTAAGGAGGCTATATTTTAGTTAGATACACACACATGTAGGTAGGTAGTTAATTATATACTGTCAATTTAATTTGTGTTGAAAACAGTGTAACTTATGCTAATCTCATGTCAGACAAATCAAGTACAGATTCAGATCAAGATGCCCTCATTTTGTCAATCTATCCGCAGTTAAGAGCCTAGCCTAAATAAACACCCAGAGATAATGTCAAAAATTGTTATGTGACAGATATCTAGTAACAAAAATTTTAAATAAGTAAATACACAAGGTAATGTTATTTTACCTATACTCAGAATGATGCCCATCTGATAAGAATGAATAATGGATATTAAACATTCATTATATTATTTAAACAAATTTGTATGTATATCTACCTTACTAAGACAAGGCTTGAAATGTGTCTTAGTATGTATTAGTGTATTTTAAATAAATGTTAACTTACCATAAATTTGGATCTCCCCCATTCTTCAAGATAAGCTCAGTGCATACTTCGGATTTCTCCAAGGGCTCTATTCCTACTGCTAAATGCAACACACCAATACCTTTGCATGGCAAAATTTCATTGACATTAACCTGGCAATTTTCCAAATAATTCTTTACATACCTGTAATTCATAAATACATATTTTTTAGAATAAAAAAGATAAATCGGCTGGGGGAAGAGGGAGGAGGGGTGCAATTCGTAAATGGCCAGGGCTCCTGGGTGACATTCAAAATACTGTGCGGAAGGGGTGTGGATTATTCACGGGAGAAATGATGACGAGCAATCAGTGTGGAATCAACATTTTATTAACTTATCCTACATCTTATATACTACTTACTCTACTTTAACTACGTGCTTAGGGCTACGATACCTAATCGTATCAGGGAAGTGTTATCAACACGTAGAAGACGTGATTTGCACTTCACCACATATACCCCTGGCTTTAATCTACTAATCTAAAATATCTTTAAACTTATACCATAATTTATATAGTAGTGATTTTGATTTAATACAGCTTGTATAACTTCTCATGAGTTTAATCATCACAATAAATTATTGCACAAGTAGAAAAAAAACTTCACATTCTTATGAAGTTGCTACCTACCTGTCTCAACCAATACTGATAATAGGACATTAAAACCTTTATCATTCATGAAGTTTTATTAAAATCAGGTAACTATTTAAACAAGAATTTTAAGAACCTATACCTCTAGGTTTTCCTAGACATTTCCAATAACGTTTTCAGCAAGATTAACCATCAAAAAATATGTTTTAAATGTGTTTGCAACACATAAAGATTTTGATATTGTTTAAACTTACCTGAACTCAAAGTGAATCAAATATAGTTTAACGAATTACAGTTTGACTTTCCCTGAACTTCATGGGGGAGAACCAGTTTAAAAATAATCACAAAATATTATAAAAAAATTGCGATAGTCAATTTACAAGTACGTACCTTGTATCGCCACATTGTATTAGATCGTATAATTTGAACAATTCTCTATACGTAGTACCCATGGTTCAATAATAAATACACTGATCAAAATATTCCTTTTTGTATTGTAACAGATCATTTCCTGTGGGTTGGGCTGATAACTTTCACTTAGTTAATGATACATTTCAAAGAAAATTATCTTAACACATTATTACTAATACGCATATCGTATTACGGCAGATGTTGAAACATTACATTTTTATTCGTTTGTTTTTGTTAATTTTCAAACTAACGTCAGCCTTGCTTCTTTTGTTTACGTTTGTTTGTTTAACGTTCCGTTTTACGTTTTACTCGCGTCGCGTCCAACGAAATTAGAAAATTCGTTCGTTGCTCGCTTTGGTATCTCTCAAAGGTCAAAGAATGCTCGCGTGTCACTTCACATGCGCTTTACGATTTTTATAATGAAAGTAAAACATTTAGCGAAATAACTAAGTTAAATTTGTAAACTAACTTTAATTATCTTATCGTTAGAAGGTTAACTAGAAAATTCAGCGATAACGTTTACATTTTCATATCTTTGATAACTGTGAATAAGTCGTTATTTCTGTTCCGTGGTTATCAATATTTATAAAAATAAACGAGTAAAAGTATCAATTAATCCAGGTTATTCGAAAATAGTACGAAAAAAGTAAAAAAAATCTGGTAATGTAAAGTTTTCATCAAGTTATTTTGCCAAGAATCCTATCGAGGAAAAATAATTTAATAGGGACTTAATTTAAATATCTACTTCAAGAACTAAAAAAAGTAAAAGAAAGTTTATATCAGAAGCTGCACAGACTGTGTGTCCTTAGCCTTTTAAATGGAATGTCATTTTTATAGATGTAGATCTTGTGGCGCGTGGTTGAAAATGTTGAAATCGAAACTAATTTATGGAAGGTGAAAACAATAAGCTTTTATTTCCTGTAGCTCTTTCCCAGTCAATGTCAAATAATAACGTTCCCTACAAGTAACGAGACTACGTATGTAATTAGTGATCCTCATTTCACCAGGTAGGTGCCACGGTATTTGAAAACTTCAGGTGGCTAGAAATAACAAAATGAAATCTTAAGCGATAGCATTTTCCAAAGCAATCCCGTTAGGCGAATGGCCCCCTGTTCTAAACTGTGTACGAGGTTTGTTAACGACGACACTGGCGCTCGCGACCCGCGGGTACCGGGTACGCGGTATAAACGTACAAACCGTGCTCGTGATCGTGAACAAGCTTAGCCGGCACCGGCCCTGATAGTCATTTTGGCTTCTTTTTATTTGGTAAAGAAAAATTGGGTGGCTAATTTTAGAGGTGGAGCGCAAAATTTGGAAAGACGCCGCTGCACAAGATGCTTTGCGCAAAAAACGTACGTTGTGTATGGCTTGTTCGACACGTCATAAATAATAAATAGGGTTCCGTTATGGTTTTTCATGTTTAATATTATTTTTAATGTCCCGTACCGAAACACTATTAAATAAAAAATTAGACACGATATCACGAAATAACACATTGTCTGTGGCTGTGACATTGTGGTTACAATATGCAGATATGAGTACGAGTAAAAGGTGGTTGCGATCGTAGATTTTAGCTTACTTAATTTTCATGCGGGCACTCATTCTATTGAATATAAATAACATTAGCAAATACGTAATGTAGGTACTTACTTGCAGCTGATAGACAGGAGTATGATGAATAATGGCGATGTTTACTATCACTTCAAATACGGTACTATTTTTTTATGGAAATAATTTAAATATTTTGGTATTCTATTTGCTGATTTAGTGCGTATTTACGGAGTGCGTGATGCACGTTTTTTCCGTTTACAGCCGTGAGATAGGACTGCCAACCCTACTATATAATATAGTATCCTAACTATACTAGGGGATCAAATAGTATATTTCTAAAAAAAATATATAGTAGGCGAAACTACTATATTTTGCTAAAAGTACTTTTGCATGTAAAATCTTTCTTAAAAATAAAAAAAAAATATTAAGGCATATAGCAGCAAAAATATATTCATTTCAAGTAATAAAGTAAACATTTTAACAACATACTATATTTTTTCCATTTTTTGCCATCCAGTATATTTTAGAGTCAACAGCTTTGAAAATATTATATTATATAATATATTATCTCTGATAGAAAAAAAAATTTAACCCTACCGTGAGATGGTGCTAATAATTTAAGCAAATCAACTTTGAATGATGTCGTCTCTTTTTGGTCTTAAATTAATTCAACATTAAGAATTTGTTATCACATTAATAGTTTCTAGGGTTAACTAACATAACAAAATTTCGCTTTCGTTTGAAACTTAACTAATAAATAATGGGAAGGAAGGGATTCATTAATTATGCTATGTAAATATTTAGGAGAGCACTGAGCAAAATCTTACACGCCACTGAAAATCTATACATATAATATAGAGCGAATATAATTGCCGTTATATTCGCTCTGCACTTTCTTTCCGGTTGCCTGGTAGAGAATGCCATATTGGCATTAAGTCCGCCATTTGCATATAAGGCAATAAAGATTAAATAAATAAAAATATAAAAATAATAAAATGGTAGGAAAGTCAAAACTGTAGATTGAATATTTTTTTAAAAGAATACTTGGGGTGTGATTACAATCGATACCGAAGCCAAAAATATAGTTTTTAGAATTTTTGTCTGCTTGTCGGTATGTATGTCCGGGATAAATTGAAAAAGTACTGCATGGATTTACTTCAAATTTGGCACGAATATTATTAAGAAATCGGGTCAACATATAGGCTACATATTATCACGCTATCACCTACGGGGAACGAGCAGTGAACCTTTATTTCTAACTAACTCCACGCTTACAAGTCGCGGCCGCTAGTTATTAAAGTGCTAAGTCCTGTAAAGGATCTGAATCTTTGGGAATACCTATGTGCACGTTTCAAACCTATTTTAAAAAAATAAATTGTGATACGATTCATTGCGGATGCCGCTCGAATGCGGTTACATTGCGGTTAGTGCATCCAGATAGCAAAAGGCGCGTGTTCGAAACCTGCCTATGTATGACACATAGACACATAATGCACGCCACTGCGACCGATTTTCTGCCACTCTCATCCAGTCCATTCCTGTCAGCCTACGAATGTCAACATCCTATCTTGTCTCAGGGCATCCTACACTACGTTTACCGAGTCGTGGTCTCCACTCAAGAACTTTACGGCTCCAACGGCCGTCAGTTCTGCGGCTAATGTGACCATCCCACTGCCACTTCAGTTTGCTAATTCGGTGGGCTATTATAGTTTTTATTTAATCTTATAAATAAAGTAGTATAAAATACTTAAAATAAAAATTGAATATATATAATACAGATTTTTAAAAAATGTAATTGTAATGTGTGTAAGTACAAAACAGATTATATTTTTGGCCTTGACCATAGGTGCATAAGCTAATCTACCTGCTATACACTGTCAAAAAAAACGACATTTTGCATACTATAAGTATTTATATCGCATTTTTTCACGGACCTCGGCGGCGTCTATATTATTCAGCGGTCCGTGCGTGACTGTGAACCAAGAAGTTATAAGTAGATATATTAAAAATGCTATGCATGCATCTCAGTAGTAAACCTCGCCCTTGGCAGAATTTCTACGTTCATGCTAAGACAAGGTTTTGTGGCCAAGTTAAAAGTTCACGAACTAATGTCAAACCTGCTTTGCTATATCTACTGCTTTCTTCCAGACACAAAAGAACAGAATAAGTTCCGAAAATCGTTTTTTTTAACAGTTTACCGCTGTCACTCGTTCGATGTTAAACAAATAAGTATAAAATAAAGAAATAGGTTTTTTTTTATCCAGGTTAAAATAAATAAAACTAGTTTTAACGGGTTAATGCACGAAACTTTATTTATTTATTGATGTTTCGCAGCCTTTTCAGGATAAAATATTTATAATGAAGATTTTTAGTTCTTCCAATCACTTCTATGAAGTGTTATTTTCTTTCTTTAAGTAAGTACCTAATCATTTACGTAAGCGAGTCAAGCAAGGAATAGAACATTAGCAGTTTGCGGGACCTTTCTACGTGATAAAACTTTGAACGGATAATGGGCGCTTATCAAAGCAAGACTACTAAATAAATACCTTAACCAGGCTGTTGCCATACCATGTCTGCGCTTTGGTAAAGGCACACACAACATTAGTTCGAAAACGGACACAAGAAAGATAAAAGTCAGTGTAAAGTTTTTTAAATTTTGGCGGAAAATGTAAGTTTATTTTTTTTAAATATCTTCATAAAAATACGTTGACTCAGTTTTGTATTTACTGCATAGAAGTAATAATTGATACGAATGCATTACTAAATTTTATTGATTTAATAATATCTTGAAGGAAAACTTTTTTTACTTATTGACCGGTTGAAGCAACAGCAGTGCAGTGCTCCTGCTTCGACCCAGAATTGAATTCTATCTTAATAATGTACGAACTGTGATTGTGTGTCATGTAAAAAATATTATTGTTGCCAACAATCACAAAATCACAATCTTGCAATTCATGTATTGAAAATCTTATATATAAAATTCTCGTGTCGCAATGTTAGTTACCATACTCCCCCGAAACGGCCTGACCGATTTTCATGAAATTTAATATGCATATTCCATGGGTCTGAGAATCGGCTACTATCTATTTTTCATATCCTTAGGTGATAATGGTTGTCCACCTGTAATGTAGAGTTCTGTAACCTGCTTTTGCGCCTTCGCGCCGAAATTCAAACTATTGGGTATTGTAACGTAGTGTTCTTATATATATGGGTTAGGAGGAATGTTATTTTGGACAATATTTATATTTTTATAATGTGGTATTAAAAATACATACAACCCTAAATTTTCTCTTATACCACCTGCCCCTATTTTTAAGGCGGTACGAAGTTCGCTGGGTCAGCTTTATAAATTTCTCTTACATTATTGTGTAAACATGGTATTAACTTAGTTGTTATTTTTTTGTCTGTTGTCTGTTTATTGTTATTAATGGCATACTTGAGTAAGTGGATCTTAAAAATTCTATCTTTTCTTTATTGATTATTATTATTTACTTTATTAATTAATTACAAACTTTTTATAATTTACGGCCTTACATCCCTGTTTGTCATGTCTGAGCACCTAACTTCTCCTCACTGCAGTCCTGAATGTGCTATTAGCAGAGTCAGACTTATTACTCACTGCATACCAATAATTCTGATAGTATAATAATTAAATGCACATTATCTCCTTAAGTATTTGTTTTCATTTGAATTGAAATAACTTTTGCGATACCTTTTTATTTTTATGACATTAATTTATCTCTTCTCAGTCATAATGCTTCTGTCAGCATTAATAATTAACATACTTAAGATGCTTTATTAAAATAAAAACTTCCCTAACGTGACCGTCTTGACAGCAGGCTATTATCTAATGACGCAAAGTATTTTTACATAAAACTGCGCGGAGGTCAATGTTCCCGGGGCACCAGGGAATCGCACTAAGGATGTTTTTTGTTAGAATGACCCTATATCACCTGATGTGACATCAGTTATGCAGATAAGTAATTGATTAGCTACCAATACGTGTCATGGACCCCTGGCAACCCCCCTTGTTGAACGCACACAGAACTACAACAAACACAAAAAAAACATACCTACACGATGAATATCCAAATTCTCCTTTTTTATTTAAAGGCGATTAAAAATAGTGCTGCTGTCATGTTATTTTAAACAAACAAAGTTTAGAGTAAGTAGGTACTAAAGTATGTATCCACACTTTTTGGTTTGTCATGTCCTAATCAATTGCACCACAAATGATACTTCCTTTGGGGGGAGTAGCAAATCAAAAGTCGTGTTATTTTAGCACACCAATGAGCTTAAAGATTTTTTTACAGTTTATTTCTTACACGAATTAACACAGCCCTAAATAAAGACTTTTTCATGGGCTAGGTCCTAGGATAACGGATAGAAATACATACACGACATACAGTGATAACTTTATGTATGCATTTAAATTAACAGCCTTAATTCGAATACAAATGCTTATTCATTAGAAAAACATTAGCTTTTGAACATTTTATAAAATTGGATTCAATGATATATAAGCAGGGATAAATCTGCATCATCCCTTTCTCACTGCAGAAGCCTCAAGGCCCTTATGGCCATAGGCATCCTCCCACGGATGTAAGGGTCTGACATAACCCTGCAGCCGGGTCCATGAGGATTTCAGACCTGCTCCCCGGCGCCTGGAATGGAACAAAATAGCAGGGATAAATATAAAGAAAATTCCTCTTTATATTTAATGACATAGGTAACTGGACTGGTGGATGAATATTTGCTCGAATATGGAAGGGTTTGAGTCAGATTGATACTACCTACCTATAGCATAAGTAAAATATTTCACAGTTCGATTTATAATTTGGTATTGAAGTTCAAAAAGTTTTATCACATGTATTAGTTTTTGTGAATGCTTTCATATTTTAATTTATTTCACAAACGAGCACATTGTTGTACTATACCCAATGCCCCCTGGCTCAGTTTTTAAAGTCCCTTTCTTAGTGATTCCCACACACAAAAACTATAATAACGATGCTGGTAAGATAGATAAACGTAATGAGAAGTCATCATACAAAATTGTATTTTTCGACATGCAGAGTTTCCATTCCTAATTCTTCGGATACGTGGCCAATCCCTCGTGGGTTATATATGAGGTATGGCGTGGTAACTTACCACTCCATACCCGCTCTCCTGACACATAATGTCGGGGATCTCGGTTCTTGGGATATGTGTCAGGTGAAAAGAGTATTTTCTAGTTTTTACTGAGAAGGGCCCTGCTCATTTCGGCGAGCCTTTGGGATTGGGTGAAATGAGTTGGGAAGAGCCTTCAGTTACCCTGTTCTAGTTTCTCCCGCGTAGCTCAGGGAGGCGTAACTCCTTTTATCCATATAATTAAAATAAAATTCTATTCCCAGTTGCCGGGAATCAGGCAACGCGTACGTGAGTGATGCTTAAGTAGACAGCGACATTTTGCGGTAATTAATCCTTTACAATTAGGCGGGTCGCAGGTTGTTTTTGCCAGCTAAATGGTATAAAAAGTTGGGTGCTAATGGCTTTGATCGTTCTGAGCCTTGTTTTTTGTTTAATTTAGGGTTCCCTATCCAAAGAATGCCCAGTGACACCTATTACTAATTCTCTGTTAATCAGCTGTCTGACCATCATTCGTCTATAAAAAATGAACGCTCTAAACGAACTCTAATAAGTATCTATACATACAATAAAATGGTAGGAAAGTCAAAACTGTACATTGAATATTTTTTTAAAAGAATACTTGGGGTGTGATCTTCAAGCGATAAAGAAGCCAAAAATATAGTTTTTAGAATTTTTGTCTGTTTGCCTGTATGTATGTACGGGATTAACTAAAAAGTATTGCATGGATTTATTTCAAATTTGGCACGAATATTATTGAGAAGTCGCCTCGACATATAGGCTACATATTTTCACGCTATCACGAACGAGCAGTGAACCTTTATTTCTAACTAACTCCACGCGTACGAAGTCGCGGGCGGCCGCTAGTATATGGAACAAGTCTGTAATCAAAAGGACGTATTTTACATTGACCCATGAAATAAGTGTCCTACATAAACGTTATTTGTAAGTGCCAAAAACAATCAATTTATTGAGGTCATCTTAAAATATTAGAATAAACTTATGCACCTATATACGCTTCTTTTTCATCATTCGTTCTAGATGAGCGCTTGATAAAGACAAGTGTTTTTATCTGTCCGTTTGATGTGCATTATCACAATTGATCTCGATTGTTTTCCAACGACCGAGACCGTAATCTGAATGGGGTCAACGCTCCGTTTTTCTGCTATTTTGTAATGGTCGCCTAATAAAAGATTAAAGAAGATTGAGCTTCGAGGTTCGAGTCAATAAGACAAACTGGTTTCGAATTTGGAATTCTTAATTCGGTAAAATTTTGTTTATTTTATTGGTGTGCTTAATTAACTGTAATTTACATCTAAAGGCTTTAACCCCATAATAGGTGAGATTTTATCGGTCGACAATATTGGATGCATTATTGCGATGTCAGTTTTTTAGAACATTATACTTATGTATGAGTGGATTTCAACAACTATAAAATTTTATTAATTTTGGTAGAGTTTTTATTTTCAGAAATTAAGAAAAGGTGACATAACTAAAATATATCACAAAATGTTGTTCATCAACTACCTTCCCAAAAATACTACGATGAACGGCGACTATTATGACGCATTGTTGACAACGATTCGCCAAGTGATTGTCGAGAAAAGGAGAGGCAAACTGGCAAAAGGAGTCCTGTTCTTGCAAGACCATGTGCCCGTCCACACTGCTCAAGTTGCAAGGCGTGCCCTCGCCGAAACAGGATCTGAAGATGTAAAACACCCACCCTATAGTCCAGACCTTGCCCCCAGCGACTATTTCCTTTTTTCCAATTTGAAAAAGGTCCTCCGAAGACGAAGATTTTCAAGTAACGAGCAAATGAAGGCGGCTGTAAATGAACATTTTGAAGGCAAAGACGGCGAAATTTTTTTTACCGGGTTAAAAGCTCTTTTTAATAAATGTAGGAAGTGCATTAAATTAGAGGGAGATTATCATCATCATTCATCATTTCAGCCGAAAGACGTCCACTGTTGGACATAGGCCTCCCCCATAGATTTCCACAACGATCGGTCCCATGCTGCCCGCATCCAGCGGCTTCCCGCGACCTTTACCAGATCGTCGGTCCACCTTGTGGGGGGCCTGCCAACACTGCGTCTCCCGGTACGCGGTCGCCACTCGAGGACCTTTCCGCCCCAACGGCCATCGGTCCTGCGAGCAATGTGCCCTGCCCATTGCCACTTAAGGTTTGCAATTCTGTGGGCTATGTCGGTGACTTTAGTTCTCTTGCGTATCTCCTCATTTCTGATTCGATCACGCAGAGAAACTCCGAGCATAGCCCTCTCCATTGCCCTTTGGGTGACTTTGAGCCTTCTTACAAGACCCATTGTAAGCGGCCACGTCTCGGTTCCGTATGTCATCACTGGCAACACGCACGAATTGAAGACTTTCGTCTTGAGGCACTGCGGTAGATGTTCCGAGAAGATGCTACGTAGCTTCCCGAACGCTGCCCAGCCAAGTTGGATTCGTCGATTAACCTCTTTCTGGAAGTTGGACTTACCCAGTTGGACTATTTGTCCCAGGTATACGTACTGGTCAACAACTTCCAGTGTAGAGCTCCCAAACGGTCACTGGAGTGGGTACGACATGGGAATTCGACATGATTTTCGTCTTGTCCATGTTCATTTTGAGACCCACTTGTTGGGACACCCTACTGAGGTGGCCGAGCATTGTGCCAAGGTCATCCATGGTCTCAGCCATGACTACGATATCATCTGCAAATCGAAGGTGCGTCATGTACTCGCCGTTTATGTTGATGCCAAGTCCGCTCCAGTCCAAAAGTTTGAAAACGTCTTCCAGCGCAGCAGTAAACAGTTTCGGTGATATAACGTCACCCTGTCTTACACCACGCTGCAGCTGGATTGGCTTCGTGTTTTGGTCCTGGAGTCGAACTGACATAGTGGCGTTTTCATACAACGACTGCAACACTTCGATGTATTGATAGTCTATTTGGCACCTTTGGAGTGACCGAAGCACGGCCCATGTCTCGATCGAATCGAAGGCTTTCTCGTAGTCCACAAACGCCAAGCATAATGGCAGGTTATACTCTTCGGTCTTCTGTATAACCTGCCGCAGCGTATGGATGTGGTCTACGGTACTAAACCCTTTTCGGAATCCGGCTTGTTCGGGAGGCTGGAAGTCGTCAAACCTGCGCGCGAGACGATTCGTGAGGACTCTCGAAAACAACTTGTATACATGACTCAGGAGCGTGATGGGTCTGTAATTCTTCAATTGGGCCCTGTCTCCCTTCTTGAAGAAAAGCGCCACCACTCCCCTATGCCATGCGCTAGGCGTTTTGCCCTCGAGTATGACAGAGTTAAATAGCTTCTGAAGAGATTTCAAGACTGGTCATCCACCTGCTTTCAGAAGCTCGGCTGTAACTCCGTCATCACACGGCGCCTTTTTGTTTTTGAGCTGTTTCAGAACTACACTAATCTCGTACAGGCTGACGTCCGGGATATCTTCGGTGTAGTGTCGGGTTAATTTGGCTCTTGGGTCGGTCGCCTTTGTGACAGGTACTCGTGATGTCGCGTATAGCTGTCCGTAGAAGCTTTCGATCTCAGCCATAAGCTCAGGTTGCGACGAAATGATTCTGCCGTCCTCTGTCTTCAGCTTCGTCAGCAAACTCTGTCCAAGAGACAGATTTCTTGCGAACACTTTCGAGCCTTTGTTCCGCTCGATGGCCTCTTTAATACGATCAGTATTAAAGCGGCGTATGTCGCGAGTCAGAGACTTCGAAATCTGCCTATTGAGCTGCCGACGTGCATCTTCAGAGGACTGCAGACCCATCTCACGCCTTTTCTCCATGAGCTTGAGAGGACTCTCAGAGGGAGATTATATTTGAAAATAATTTTTTTATACATTTCTATCAGCATTTTTAATACCTGAGGCTCAAAACTTTTCAGCCGCCCCTCGTACTGTCACTTGCAGAGCGCAACTGAGAGATTCTAGGAATCCCAAATGGTGATTCTTTTTAACTTGTAAACATCAATTGGCACGCGTTTAAATTATCAATTATTCGCGGACGAAACTTTCTGGCATAAACTTAATGTAAATTAGAAATAAAATTGTAAATAGCTGAAATAACTAGTATATTTTATGATACAAAAAAATAACTGTAAAAACTTGCTCAATTTTAGACATAATTAACAAATCTTTAAGAAAACGGTTTCTGGACGCTCCACCAGACTTAAAAAATGGAAGGAAAGATATATTTTTTCCTCATGTTTAATGTGGTTTATGTGGTAAATATATATTGAAGATATGAAAGCCTTTTACTAATCAAAAAATAAAAACTTGTGCATTTGTAATTCCAAACTACTGTTTTCTGCCTCGCCGCGTAAAACTACTGCCTGGGAAAATCACCCGTATGAGAACGGATACTAAGTTACACACTGCTGCGATAATAACGCCACATTAGAACTATGACGAAATATCGCAATAGCGCATCCGATATTATCGACCGATAGTAACGCCCCTATGGGCGGAAGGTTTACATCTCTCTCATTACTGTATTTTAGAATTTGAAATTGGAACAGTTTTAGCATTGTCTGCTTAACCAGTGATTTCATAGCTACTTACACTACAAACAAAGAAAGGATATCTTCTGTTTTACCACTTCGGCATTTTTTGTGAATGCGTTAATAGGCGATTGGATATTACTATGTATCAACTTATTTTATTAATAATTTACGTATTTGTAGATTATAACTACTTACGTGACTTATGTACATAGTTATAATGAAATTATCAATCAGACACATTCCACAGAAAAACAATAATACCACATCCTCAAACTATAATAAAATAAAAATTGATATTTAACTACTTATTTATTTTAGATGTACATAAATCGTGATTTTTGGGTCTTGTCATACCATATCTCAATGAAAAATTGAAGTTTGGTAGATTGATAAATCATTTATTTCCAATATTGAAATTACTTTACAGATGGCCTTGCTATGGCTCGTGATTCTCTGCGGCGTGTCCTCAGCAACTGCCCTGGACAATGGGCTGGCGTTAACGCCGCCTATGGGTTGGCTGACCTGGGAGAGGTTCCGGTGCATCACAGATTGTAAAACATATCCTTCGGAATGTATCAGGTAATTATCAATCATTCATCAACATCATCAGCCTATTAATCTTCCTACTGCTGGGGCACAAGCCCTCCCTATGGATGGGGAAATAGGGAAAATATCCGATAGTTAGTCGCTTCCTTACCGGCGGTTGGACAACTACCTTATAGGAGCGTAACTGTAACCTGCACCTGCACGATCGAGATCCTATTATAAAATATCATTACAAAGGAGTTGATATCTTAATTTTCCCAATTTTGATTGGATGGTACTCAGTGTTACCTTATTTTATCCTTCCATACTTTTTAAATACCCATCAATATCACAGTACTTCTATTTTTGGTCTTCTTTTTTGGTTGGGACATTTATGTTTTTGTACACCACCGTTATTCTTTTAAGCTTTAACATGATTATTGCAGTGAAGATTTAATAAAACGGACAGTGGATATGATGGTGATCGAAGGTTACCGTGACGCTGGTTACGATTACGTCGGTATCGATGACTGCTGGCTCGAGAAGACCAGGGGACCGGATGGCCGCATGGTACCGGACAGGGAACGGTTCCCTAGCGGAATGAATGCCTTGGCTGATTACGTGAGTAAAGGACATCGACGAAATCGGCCCTAACATGCCCAAAAGGACGTCCTTCATTATTATTTTTCTATTATTTTTTTAACTTATTAGCAATTAATCATAGTAAACGGACAATCTGTTTAAAAAAATAAAAAGTAAAAGTTCTGTTACTAGATACTACAGTCTGTTCATCCAACTTGTCCTATTTGGTAAACAATCTTGGCACTCCTTTTTATTGAAAATACAGCATTAAAAATCAACTGATAACTGGATTCAATGGGTTTCGGTCTATAATAACGATTTATTTTAATAGTTTATTGGCTTCGTTAATATTTTATTATTAAATGGGTGATTCTGTTAAAAGGTTGTGCCAAGATTGTTTACCTTAATAAATGCAATATGGGCGAAGGGCGACCATAGGTATTTATCAACATAAAAATAGAACAAGGTACCTTAGTTAATAATACTTATTACTAGTATTTATATTATATTTATAAAAAGATTATTTCTGAAATTATGTAAAGATATTTTATACTCCCATCCCATGTAATATCTGTTTATTTTTATGAAAATCATAATGATAACCAGGTACATACCTAATTACCGATAATAAAATATAGAAACAGGTAAATGGAAAGACTTTGAACATTTCATTTGAAAAGAAATCTATTATTACTACAGGTAGGTTTAGGTATCATAGGAGCCAACTGCCAACAGTCATAAATCAATATGAATATAAGCATTTATTATTAATTAGATTTTATTTTTATTTTATGTTCATTTAATGCATATTATTTAATTGCTTACATAAAGGTAAGCACTAAATCTATTCAGAATATATAAAGTGTATATCTTTTACGATTAAGTATAAATATTATAACCTCAAAATCTAATACATTCTGTAGTAGGCCACGGTTCCTCAAGTTGTCCGTATCTCAACAAATGCCTAATTAGCGTTTATGAATGATTTCGAACACAACTAGCATTTTCTCATTGCTGGGCGTTCTAGGGCATTCAATGTATGGGGGACGAGCAATGTCCTTTGGATTCATTGTACCTAGCAACTTCCAAGTCAGAAACATAAAAGGCTAACTAGTACTTCGCGGCACTTGGCTGTATCAAGTACAGACTACAGTTGGATGACAATGGTCTCTGGTAAACCTGTGATAATTCAGTTCATCGGTGGACTTTTTATTTTGGTAGCTTTTATAAAAGTCCTAGTATGAATATAGACTAGCAAATTCTGTAATCTTTGATAAGTAGCTACATGTGCTAAAAATTATTGAGATAAAGATTTTTCTCTCCAATATCTTCATAGAAGCTAATATCCTACTCAAGATGGAAATAATATTACTGTGCGTGTAGACGATTACCTATGATTGATTTCTTATCCCTATTAGATCCATTACTGGATTAGTTAGTTGATTATATAAACCCCAATTTATCTTAACAGCTTTCCTTTTATTTTCAGATCCATAGCCGAGGGTTGAAGTTTGGAATCTATCAGGACTACGGCAATTTGACCTGCGCAGGATACCCGGGCGTGTTGGGAAGCGAACAGTTAGACGTGGACACCTTCGTGAGCTGGGACGTAGACTACATCAAACTAGACGGATGCTATATAAATGCTACAGAGATGGACAGCGGTACGTGAATGATGCCTTCAGATAACTATATAGTTAGTTTCCTTCCTAGGTTCAATAGTGACTGTAAACTTTTGGTTGGTAGGATTACCAATCATGTCTTAAGCTATCGGGGAAGGAGAAGTTTTTTAGAACTTAGCACCTTTGTACCATAAATAATGCCTCATTATTTGCATTATTCTTTATTCTCACTTCACACACTTCTATTATTTATTCTCACGCCATATCGTCAAGTTTAAAGACTGAGGTATCGTTCTTATTATTTTATTTTCGTTCTACAGGATATCCAGCCTTCGGAAAATTATTAAATGACAGCGGGCGTCCCATTTTATATTCATGCAGCTGGCCAGCCTATCAAGAAGATATTAAAATGATGGTAGGTTTTTTGTCCACTATCTGTGAATGTATTCCAAAAATCAGCAAAAGGTTCTGCTTACAATCTTCATAAAATGTGGCTGTTAAGGTGTGGAAGAGAACGTGTTTTTTTCTCTTATGTAATTGGGTAGGGAAATGACTGTGCTGTAAAGTGGTGGTAAAGTCCAAACGCGAAGATGACTGCTGCAGCAATTAGAATGAACTACCACACCAAGCATCCTCACATTGCCGCCTTGCACAAATGCTTGCCGCCTTTTTTACCGCATTGTGGCTTGTCAATGCCTGCCGATAGGGGGAGGGTTGGGGGCTGCAATGCGTCTCCCCATCTCTATCCCCTCGCCAACGGCACGAGAGCAAGCGCCCCTATCCCTACCGACACCCACGACTTCCATTCCTCTCTCCGACGAGAATGGAGGGGTGTCACAGATGGTTGGGGAAGCCGTTGTTTTTTTGCTCAATATTATAATATAGTGGCTATGTTGTATAAACAATGGTTCGGATCTCGGAACGCTTCGTACGCGAGTCCGACTCGTACTTGACCTTTTTTTTATGATAGTGCATCTATGTTAATTAGTTGTATTTCTATTGTAGCCTGACTACGCGTCGATAGCTCACCACTGCAACCTGTGGCGGAACTGGGACGACATCGACGACTCGTGGTGGTCGCTGGAGAGGATCATGGACTGGTTCGGAGACAATCAGGAGCGGCTCGCGCCCCACGCCGGGCCCGGCCACTGGAACGATCCTGACATGGTGAGTAGAGACACTACGCGTTGATAGCCCACCACTGCAACCTGTGACGGAACTGGAACGATATCGACGTCTCGTGGTGGTAAATGGAGAGGATTATAGACTGGTTCAGCGACAACCAGCCGCCAGGGCAACTCTGGTCCAGCGTCCAGATGGCCGATCAACTTTACAGTTGGGAACACGCTCAATTTATTCTCTGTGTCTATGCCTTTGCAGTCCACTCAACCACTGCATTAGCTTCCTTAGCATTCTTATTTAGAGAATAAGTGGTAACAAGTACTGTTTAAGGAAGAGGACGTTCTTTAAAGAGTACTTACTTGACCTTCTATAAACGGAAGTAACTATGTTCTGCACAGTTGCTGATAGGAAATTTCGGTCTGAGGGAGGACCAGGCGCACGTGTAAATGGCTGTATAAGCTGTGCTCATCAGTGCGTTCTGACTTCAAGAGTTTTTGTTTTGATTTTATTACATTATTCTTGACGATTTGTTTTATTGAAACGACTATGTTCTGTGCAGTTGTTGATCGGCAACTTCGGTCTAAGCGAGGACCAGGCGCGCGTCCAGATGGCCGTGTGGGCGGTGCTGGCGGCGCCTCTACTCATTAGCGCGGACCTCGCCACCATGAAGCCGGAGTTTAAGAGTATTTTGCTCAATCGAGACATCCTAGCTGTCGACCAAGATCCCATGGGGAAGCAAGGACTGAGGGTGTATAAGGTAAGATACTATCCTAATACGGCGCGGACCTCGCCACCATGAAGCCGGAGTTTAAGAGTATTTTTCTCAATCGAGGCATCGTAGCTATCGACCAAGACCCCATGGTGGAAGCAAGGACTGAGGGTGAATAAGGTAAGATACTTTCTTAGTACGGCGCGGACCTCGCCACCATGAAGCCACCGTTCCAGTTTAAGAGTATTCTACTCAATCGAGATATGGGCCCTTTAAGAGAGGCGTGAAGAAGCATTACTGCAGGCGGGCAAGATGAGGATGGTTGATGTAGCAGTTTATAATTGCTTCACCAGCTATCTTTGGGTCGGGACTTTACCACTCACAACATCAGGTGGGGTAGAATCATTTGCGTACCTAGCTATAAAAAACGTACCTGAAACCTAGCAACTGGCAAGTTTCACGGGCGCGATAACGGAGAGCCCTTTAAAGCAATCCATGCGGCTAAAATACGCTACAATATGTCAAAAATCCATGCGAATACCCTCTTCAGATGTTAAATGCGTGCCTTTGGTAATGTTGTATTTCTGTCGGTGAGTAAGGTTTCAGGGCTCCACGGGGTAGGGGATTGGGTCAGGGTAGGCAACGCTGCGAATGATATTTTTGGAATCGCAAGCGTCTATAGCCATACCTAGCTCCTAAGCTTAGCCTCCACTCATCTCGACGCGGTTTCGAATACCGTTGGATCCATTCCAGACCTACTATGACACCTACCCGTGCCTATATTCTTCTCTAAAGTGTCGTTTCTCTCCATAGCAAAATTGATTTTAAATTAGTTTAGTAAAACGGTTTAGCAGTAGAAAATCGTAACAAATAAACAGAGAGTCATACACAGTTATTTCATATTTGAGGAACTGGCGAACGGTATAATTACATAAAATTAAATTTTACAGGAGCTGTATAAAATAGAATGACACCTCCAGTGAGCTTTTGCATGGTTATTAATTTATAAATTTAGTAATTTTAACACTCTTTTAGGCGGTTCTAATTGAAAATTATTTGAGATTCAAATTCAACGGCCCCGACACCTCCATACTGTAAAAAAACGAACGAGCCTTACAGTAGTCGCGTATGATGTGTAACATTTGAAACCTCACCTTACATAATATAGTAAAAAAAGAAATAAAACCTACAAAAAAAGGAATAAGCCATTTGAACGTTATTTTCTAAAATGAAATCAGATAGCGCGCGCTTTCTCGACTTTCTGTTACAAACTTCCGTCCCATTTCACGAAATCACTCCCACAAAATTGAAGGAAAGCGCGAGGAAAGATGTTACACATCAAAAAAGTCGTTTGACCAGATGTGTAATATATTAGGTATACCGTTTTGTTCGCCAGCTCCTCATTTGTAATAGAACCTAGGTATATTATATGGATTTTCATAATGCTTTTAATTTATTAGGAGAAGAAAATAGCGATATGGACCCGCGAGTTATTTGACGGAAGTTACGCCGTCGCGTTCGTCAGCCACCGCACAGATGGCGCTGCCTACGTCTTCCGGTACAAGCTGAAGGATTTCAAACTGCCGGAACAAATTTATGATGTACAAGTAAGTATTGTCATCATCATCATTATCAGCCTATTAATGTCTCCACTGCTGGGGTACAGGCCTTACCTATGGGTGGAATAGAGAGATGGGCCATGATCCACCACGCGGGCCTAGTGCGGATTGGTGGGTGCTAAAGACTGCATATGCAGCCGAAACCAAGCAACGGCTTAAAGCGCCTTCCGAATAGAGTTACCATCCGTCCGGATTAGTCCGGACATGTCTGGACTTTTAGATCATATATCGGACTTGGTCAGGATCCTTAAATTGTCCGGATTTTTTTAAATTACATTGAATATGAATAATAAAAGTACATACTGATTTAAATAACATACCATTGTAACTAAGTGAGTAATGGTACCATTCTGTGACTAAAAAGTCCGGACTTTTTTCGAAATGTCAGGATTTTTGTCAGGACTTTTGAAATTCCTAAACGGTACCCTACTTCCAAAGCACATAGAAGGTCGAGATAGTAAATTTTGATCACCTATCCAAGGACCGACCACGCCCTAACAACTTGCGCCATCGAGCTACTGGTAAGTATTGTACCTACATTCATTTATATGTAAAAAGTTGAAGATGTCGAAATAGAGCGTTTATCTGAGGAAGCTACATCCAGCTTACAGAAAACCATATTGAAATGAAATATGTACCTTTTAGCTTTTAGTGGTGGTATGTTTTTGAATGAAGACTTCCGTGGCCACGTGGTTTGTATGCCGGGTTTCAAGGTGTCGCCTACTCGAGAGGTCCCGGTTTCGAATCCCGAAGGAGGTAGATGTTTGTGTGATGAGTATGAGCATCTATACTCCAGTCATGTATAATTAATATGTATTTCTATATAAATATACTTATACAAGCTGTGCCCCGCAGTGTTACCTGCGGTTTATCAGGTATATTTTCCCGCAGTAAAACGTAGCCTATGTGTTTAATCCAGGGTGTCTGCTAACTTCATACCAAATTTTATTAAAGTCACTCCAGCCGTTTAGACGTGAAGAAGTAACAAACATACACACTCACAAACTTTCGCCTTTATAATATAAGTGTGATATGTATCAGTTTAAGTATTCTATCCGTTACCCTAGTATTCACCAACAGATAACAAACAGGTTTTCATACACGCTGTGTGTTTTAGAAACACATATAATAATACTGTTTTGCATTCCAACAAAACCGTTATTATGTGTGTGAGAAAGCAAACAGTATTATTGGCCAACGATATCAAATATTAATATCGTTGTCATTGGCGCCAAAAACTTCAAACAAAAGACCTTGCGTCACAATGGCGCCAAAAAACTACGTGAATTTTTCTAAGCGCCCTCAATTCCATGGAGGTTAGAGATAAGCATAGCGATCACTACGTACAAAAGCATTAGCCCGCCTGCCCTAAAAATTTGTAGAATTTATAGTTCATTTTTCAACCACCGGCCGCGCTGCCGTCGGTAAGTAGTATCTGTGAAGTTAGCTGTTTATGAGTACAAGTAGATGAAGTTAGTTGAATTTTGTACAAATTTTCTCCGCGGCATTGGCCATTTCAAATTAGCCCGCTTTTATTGAGACTACTTAGCGATCGCAGCGCCTCACTTATTTTGTCCATATTTTCTGGGACACTATTTTCTATAGCGATCGTTCTCCTTCTCTTTAACCTCCATGCTCAATTCGCCGGTGTGAATTTTATTTTGAAATTCTTGTTCTATAATTTTAAATCATATCGCGGATTCCGTGGTGAAATGTGAGTTTATTTTTGCACTGCAGTTCATTTTTGTTTCTATTGCATGGAAATAAACACCTACATATTACACAATCTTTTATTCTTCGAAATACTTACCTACTCATACCTGCATCTACCTACCATACTTACTGTGTTTAATAATGTTTGTTTTTCTTTTGAAGGATTTATATAAGGAAGAAAGCAACAGGAGTGTGGGGCCAAATGAAGAATTTGCGGTCAAACTGAACCCTACAGGTAGGTGAAATTAAACAGATTAAGTATTTTATTCAAAAATACGACGCAAATATATAATGCGGTATATTGTAGGTAGTAGGTATACCTACACCAGACGATATTTTATATGCGTTTTCAAGCTTATAGTTTCGGCAGATTAGTTTTTAAACAGCTTCAGAGACATAGCAAACCTTAATTTTATACCTTTATTTGAATCAACCAATCCCAACTATTCATTTAATTATCTAATAAAATGTACTTCATCTGCTCTGGAGAAAAAATCGCAAACATTTGTTGTGCCGAATCGAAAGAAAATAATCAAACCTTGGATAACTCCAGGGTTTTAAAGAAGCATTCGACACAGAGACAAATTACACAAAAAACTGAGGCACGCTCCCAATAACGAAATATTAAGAATTACTTACAAACCGGTAAAGAAAATTTTGTAACTCATTTTTGTAAAAAGGTTAAAATAACGTACGAACGTGAATTACTAAAAAAAGCAGGTAAAGTAATAACATGAAACTATGGCATGCTATAAATAATATTACAAACTCATCTAGTAACAGCCTCGAGATTTACTAACAGTCCCCTCTACTCCGCAAGGCTCTATTGATAAAGTTAATAATATTTTTGTCGGTGTGCACGGGACTTTACCAAAATAAATATAAAAACAACATGACTCAAATAGTATTGTTCATATGTTTATGTTTTACTAGATACAGATATAGAAAAATTGATTTGATAATTAATAATTAATAATGGATGGACTGTGCAGTTTGCTGTCGGTCACGACAATATTTCAAGCATGATATTAAAATACCTAAAACTCTATTTGTCCCTCTTACTTACATTTAATTTGTTAGCCAAGGATTTTTTCCTGATGAAATTAAGAAGTCGTTATTTGTCCCTATTTATAAAGGCGATAGACACTAGTGTCGATTCTGCCACGATTCTCTAAACCTAAACTTAAATTAGACAACAATTTGTCATAGTTTTAAGTTTAGAGAATCATGCCAGAATCGACACCACTATGTTACTAATTACATACTGATATCAATATTGTCTTCTTTTTTAAAAAAATAGAATTAAATCTAAAGAAAATTTAAACATCAAGCAGTTACATGCTTTAAAAATAATAAAAATTATAAAAATAGAATTATTCATAAATGTACGTCTGGTTGGTTAATAAATTGCTATCTTTTTCATTCTCTTAACCATGTACTTTGCAAAAAAAAGAATTTCTGTCTGACTCCAGGATCTTCGACACGAAGAGACCGAGAAACTCTATTTTTCTTTTAATTAACTTCCTAAATCAAAGTATTCATAAGTATATAAGTTTTTACATCCTCTCACACTAACTCTACATACCCACTTAATACAAAGAGTAGAACAAAATCACAATAATTTTAAAAGAAATATAAAGTTATAGATTTACGTCTTCTACGCTTTTTTCGTAAAAAATATGGGGAATGGCGTTGGGTGCTGAAATACAGGTTTCCTAACCTAGTTCGGCAACGAATACTACATTATTTAACTTATTGTCAGCTCAGTCAACTAGACTTGAATATTGTAATTAAAAAAATAAATAAATTGAAGTTGTAATTATGTTTCCATAGTTATTAACTTATGAAATGTATGTACCTATAACTTTGCAGGTGTGAAATTCTACAAATTCATCCCGAGAAGCACAGAAAAAGTGAGAACAAATGAAGTAGTCATCATAGATGAAAACAAACTAGGAAAATAAGCTTATTTTGTACAAACTTATACCTATACATAATATACTTTATTAATTCACTATTATTGTTATTATTGGTGTTGATTCTAGCACGATTCTCTAAATCTAAACTTAAATTTGACAACAGTATATCCTTGTCATTCTCTATACAGAATGAAAAGGACAGACTGATGTTAAATTTAGTTTTCAATTTAGAGAATCACGCCAGAATCGACATCATTATCTCATTTATTTTAGCTTCTTTCCCTCCTTAATCCTGCTTTCTGTTATGTTAATCTTTCTCTTTCTATCGTAGATCCCCCTACACTTCACATTCTCTCTCTTTTTCTTTTAATACTTCATTCTTAGCTTTGGGAGAATAAAGATAAAGATATTCCTGTGGCTTTATAAAACCTTGATGCAAGTAAAACTTTTACATCACCTCAAAATTTTTTCGGGTCATAGACAATTTATCAAAGTTTACAAAAGGCTTTATCGTTCGTAATAAAATTTTTAAACTGGACACTCCTGTCATCGAGTGAAGATAAGCAGAAACAGCTTGTTCTTAGTTTCCCTACTCGCTACTAGTGTTGATAAAGTGGCGCTGTTAGCGTTCCGTAATGATCCCTACACGCCACTCACACTTACCTACTTCACTTAATTTTAGAGAGCCCTATGGATCAAAGTCTTTGTTATTATTTTGAGTACTATTATCATCATACAATACGATACTACAAGGGCGTACCCAGGATTTCAGCTAGGAGGGGGCAGCTCATACCTGTTTCGAGAAGATGGTCGGTCGGGTATATTGAAACAAAAAATCATGAAAATTGACTTTTAATAATTAGTTTGATTATGACACAAAACAAAATATTAAATATATATAATAATCATAATACACATATATTAATTTAAAAGTAATCTTCTCGGATTTGCTGCCGAAAATTTGTCTAAGACAGTCTTTTGAATAAACTCACTGTTTTCTTTTAAATAATTACGATGTACGCTCATCAGACATAAACCCGTGTGAAGTGAAGTGAAGTGAAGAAAGCTTCACCCATGGTGCTTCTAAGCCACGTTTTAACTCTTCGAAGCGTACTGAAGGACCGTTCTACGGTCGCCGTGGTGCATGGGATAGTGCTTAAAATAATCAATGCCTTTCTGACAGCAGAGTAAAAAATATTGGCGTCGTTGAACAGATCAACTACTTCTATATCCCTTAATTGATCATCTGATAAAGCATTCTTCGTCCATAAATTATGCCAAAGGTTCAGTTCTCCAGTGATAACCAGGTTATAAAATTCTTGGAATGATTCTGCGTTCTTGTAGACTTACACGTAATGCTGGTTTTGGTCATATAAAAGGGATGTAGCTTACTTAAAGCAAAAGCCGGAGTATTTTCTTGGGAGAATCGAATATTCAACGATGAAATGAGTGAATCAATGTATGGTATTATCAGAGAACGCCGCCAATATTCGTTATCATTGTCAGATGGCGGATTACTTCTATGTGTTTCTTTATGAGCAAGACGTGAAACCGAAATTTCTATGTTCAAATCCATTGCAACAGCTCGCGCTTTTTGAAGCATTTCATTACTTATTTTATCAGGAAACTCGCGGTCATTTATGAGAATGTCCTTGATATTTTTGATGTGTTCCCCCACCGAGATCATGTCGATCGATTTAGCTTGCAGTGCGTTAAGTACTGGTTCTAAAACTGCTGAATATTTGGCTATTGTTTGTAGAGCAACAATAAACACTGGTTTTTGTAACGGCTGAATGCAACTGATATTCAGATTTTCTGGTGGCATAATTTCCCTCTACGGATAACGTTTCTAGAGATTTCATAAGCTCTGGAAAATGTTGAGAAAACTTTCTGATTGATTTATATTTTTCGGACCATCTCGTCTCACACAATCGTGATAGGTTTGGAGCGTAGTTTCGACGAGTAGTCGATTCTCTGAAAAACGTTATAACATCCTTAACAGTGGCGACAGTATTTCTAATTTCTGGCACTGCGTTCGCATCATTCACAACAAGGTTGAGTTTGTGACTTGAGCAATGAAAATATAAAGCACGAGGAAATTTTTTTCTCAAAATGGCTTGTACGCATCGAATCCAAACCCTACGCAATCTTCTGTTGGGAGGTTAGAACTAATCAAGAAATTGTCAATTGCTTCGGCAATTGCTGAAGCATTTTGTGTTTTTAGTTCAACGAATCCTACAAATTCTTCTCTGATTTTCCTTTTGCTTTCGTCGTAGAACCGCACGCCTATTGATAGCTGTTCTTTCCCAGCTACGTCTGCTGTTTCATCAGCTAAGACTGCGTAAGCCATGGTCTTCTGAACCTCACTTATTATATTCTCCTTAATAACTTCGCCACATAAATTAATCAATTCGTTTTGTATTTTTGGCGATGTGTATACTGCATTACGACGGCACTTTTCCAGGTGACTCTTTAATTTGTCGTCCCCTGAATTGATTCTCAACTTTAATAAATATAATAAAACGCCCTCATCTGTTTGTTTTCCCCTAAGAGGCATATCATGTGTACCGCAAAATACTACACAAGAAATAATTGATGACAATATTTGTCTGTTTTCATCGATTGCTTTTTGGTGTCCACTTTGCAGTTGGATGTCTACTGGAACATTTTCAAGAAAAGTTTTTGCAGCATTTGTCGCTGTTAGGTGAAGGTTGGTCGATGCATGCTTTCGGTAGTCTTCGTGCATATTTTTGAAATTTATATATGGCCTGACCATAAATGATCCCAAAATTCCTCTCACAGTGCTGATGGGCGGAGGGAACAAAACACAATGCTTACAAAGAGCGCCTTTTAGTCGCTTGGAATATACTAGCCATGGTGCATATTGATCCAACCAAGCTTTATAAAATTTCCTTTTCAAATGGCTTGCATCACTTTCAAAATCATAATTTCTGGGCGGGATCCAAGGATGTTGTAACAACTCCCTTTTCTTTTCCGTCGATAGCTGAGTAGCCAACCCAACATAACGACCCAGATCATTTTCATGATAGCCATCGTCCACTATAATTTCAGGATCGACGCTGGGATGTCGATGGAGAAGAATAATCGGCAACAGATATATTTACAGGTTCTGCTGGAGAATGTGACGCTTGTCCAATGTTAGCATGCAATGATCTTGGCATTACATGGGTTTTATCATGGTTGTCATTTTCATCGCTTCCTCCACTGCTACTATCCCGATTTTTTTTTTTTTTCCTGTGTTGTCCCTAAAAAAAGGATACACAAACATAATTACTCTTACGGTGTTTAGGCATAGAACGAAAAAAAAAAATGTACCACGTTTTTAAAGCGGACTAAACAGTATAAAATAATATTTTCTAATGCCGTATAAATTGATCTAAGCATTTTAAATTATAATTAAGCATAAAAAGTAGCAATCAATGAGAAAGCTCTTCTAACATGAGATTTCTCAACGACTGGTACTTTTTACATTTTTTATCATTACCTATCTTATTTTTTTTTCTTGCACCCCACGTTTTTCGTTATACTTTTTAGTCCGTTTTAAAAACGTGGTAAGTATATAAAAAAAACAGCTTTTTAGTCATAAAAAATGTGTATTTTTTTTAAACTTTCAAACAAACAAACAAGCAAACAAATAGACAGACAAGAAAACAATCTTAAATTGTATTTTCATCCACTTCTGACCTACATTCAAAATTTCAAGTCTCTAGCTCATCGGGAAGTTAGTTTAAAATCAATTGAAAGATTTGTACCGAACAGACAAATAGACAAGAAAACAATCTGATATTGTATTGTCATCCACTTCTGGCCTACAGTCAAAATTTCAAGTCTCTAGCTCATCTGGAGATCGGGAAGTTAGTTTAAAATCAATTGCCAGATTTGTGCCGAACAGACAAGAAACGGACCTAATAAAAACGTGGTAATAAATAAAGATTAAGATACCTATAAAAACATCACATTTAAATATCAATTACTTCCTATACTGATCTGCGTTTAAATCCTGTTATCCTGATTTAAACGCAGATCTTCTCAACAAACAGGACCGCCTCATTCATCTTTTGCCTCCATTCAAATTTAAACATGTTTCTTCATATCAATCACAACCAAAATGGCTTCCTATTCGGAGCACAGACAGTTAAGACTACTCTGCACTCTTTTTTCCATTATTTCCATGTCGCTTTACGACAAAATTGGATTGCAGTTCTAACGAGCTAAGCATTTGCGCCATTGAGCTTCTTTAGATACCATTTTAATACTCTTGGAAGGGAAAATTTTATTTTTTATTTAGCAGCATCGTTATTGGCTTCCGAATTTACATCTTGTTATTCCTTGGTTTGAATTTCCCAGGAAAATCTTTGTAGTATTAAGCCGATAAACCTTGATAAACCCTAAGGGCACCGCACAGTTTTATATACATATCTATAAACTCGGCGCTGACATCGCGTTCGCATCGAGGTGTAATTTTGACGAACCTAACCCAGACGTGCCCACTCACCACCCTGCAGCGATGCGATTGCGCTTGAGGTTGCAAGGTCAAACGAAATTTGGTGTGCAACAGCCGTTAACATGGTTATAAACTAAGCAAGGTCACCTCTGTTTACAGTGATACCACCATCTGGCCCACGTTTTATTCTCCAGAGTACGTCTAGTTCCAGTATCTCTGTGATAGGCACGACCAGGACGGTCGTACTCTGCTCTTGTAATTCATTAGCTCTCTTAATTTCTCTTTCTCATTCAGGATATATGTCCAACTCCTATGCTCTTCAAGCCATACGAATGTGGATAGACTTCCCCGACTCCATACGAAAATCGATTAGTTAACTTATATTTAACGGAATGTTCACGCTCATCTGCTGCAACATTTATGATGAAGTGACATTTAATTATCATTATCATAAGTGTGCATATTTATAATTATAAATATATTTAGCTTTATTCCGCCGTCCGTCTTTCATTTTTTCCAAAGTTTGACTGGGAGAGGACGCTTTTAGCCTTTTTCACCATTATTATGTATTTAGGTCAATATATTTTCAATTAACACTTAACAATA